AGTTCTCTGGAAAATCTCCTATTACTACAGTTTGGTGTAACAGAATTAAGCGATCTTGGTCTCATTATAAAGGGTTTTTTCAGATCGTCCCGATAAATCACGAATCAAGACGATTTGAATCCCGTGGTGGCCGCTAGATGGCATCATTCGAAAAATCAGCCGATTCGCCATTTTTTTTCGAGAATTCCAGATGGAACCATATATTTTTCCTGCTATGATATGAAAGTTGAGTTAACGAGAAGAGAAATGGTGGAAATCGCGAGTTGATACTTCTTGAAGAACCGGAGAAATACTTGGACTAATATTAAAATTTGAACTGTTAGTATGTCAAATGCCTCCTCATTCGTTATCGGCATTTTGACAAATAAGCAATCCACAATGAACAGTGAAAACTTTCCAATGGAACTTCAATTGTATTTTGATGTTTCTTTCATTCAAATTAGCTATGTCATTACAACGAGTCTCCTTCACTATTGTGAGATATAACAGCAGTTTGTGGAACCAAAATAAATGAATTATTGAAATCATAATTTCATAGATACAGGATATTTCTGATCACGATTATTGAAGTTAGATTCCTGTGGTGAATATTTTCATAATATTATTTCGAGTATTTCACCGGTTCCTCAAGAAGTATCAATTCGCGGTTTTCACCATTTTCCTTCTCGTTTGCTATATTAGAGTAGAATGAATATATGGTTCCATTTGAAATTTCCAAAAAAAAATGGAAAATTGTCTGATTTTTCAAACGATGCCATCTAGCGGCCACCACAGGATTTAAATCGACTTGATTTGTGATTCATCTGGAAGAAGCAAAAAAAAACCCTTATAATGAGACCAAGATCGTTGAATTCCGTTATACCAAACTGTAGTAATGAGAGTTTTTTCAAAGTACTATTCATCCTTCCCTCCCTCTTTTATTTAAAGAGCTAGCGCAATTTTTTTTGATCGAAATGATTGGAAATCAACTCGAGACCATGAAAAAAGTGTTTTTGATCTATCGAATTTACATAAAAAACCGTTTATTAAACTGTCCAATGCAATTACGCCCTCTAGGGGCTGTCCTGAAAACTTGAAGATAATTTCCAGAGAATTTTCTTGGCCACTTTTATCATGAATATTTTTTTCCGAAACCTGTGCAGCAAATAGTTTCCGAGATACAGCCGGCGTCCTTTCATAGTGGTACACCCGGTACATTTACATATATACTATAATGCCCACGTTGGAGGTATACAAGATTATGTCATTGCATATTCAGAGGTAAAGAGCAATAAACATAAAATGAAAAATTTCCTACGATTTATGAGAAATTTCGTTCCTATACATGAACTAAATTTTTCATATGGTTTATTGATTTATTAATTATCATGGTTTATTTGAAAATGGGTCGATTGAGGTAATACTAAACCGTCGAGATGGACCTAATGATTAATGTAGATAAACTTCTGCATCTCATTTTTAAACTCAGGTGGATATATGCAGCAACATTTAATAATTATCAAGTAACATTTATCATTTAAGAATCATCAAATAGAAGTTGAACTTCCTGTTTTCAATGAGTGTATTTGTGTAGGCATTTAACAATTATTATCAATTAACAAGTAACAAGTAAGAAGTTGGCCAACTTTTAAATTTGTTACTTCATTTGAATCAGGTATTTTATAGTTCGCAATTAGTACGCAGATCGCAGATTGGTTTCATCGATTGATTGAGAAAGCGTGAGATTTGTCGAATCTTGTGTTCGACAGATGATGAAAATTAACCTTAACCAACTTCAACATGAAAAAACTAGGAGTCAATAAAATAATCTCGATGAAAAGTAAGTCAGTCTCATTTTGGGATTCGAAATTTCAGCTATTCATGTAAACTGTGAATAAAAAATTTTTGAGGTTACGGTTTTATTAGTCCGGATTTCGGGCATGTATACTTGCATACCATTTTTTCATAAATTGTTGCTTCATAATCATTGTCACCTCTGAGTAATATCTCAAAACGGAGTTTTTTTTTACATAATACACTAGATTGCCATTCGATTAGACTGACTCAATATACAGTCATTGAAATTGGAAAGTGAGATAACGGCTTCGCTGTTTGAGATAGATGAACAAAAATTTTTGTGGTGGTCTAGGCTCATGAGCAGCATATTTACAAAATATTTCGCGTTATACAGGGTGACTCAAAAATGCGTGACGTATCAAAGTTATACTTTTTCTTGTGGGACACCCTGTGTTTCATTGCATTTACGGTTTCTCCTTTGTGAGCTGATTCCATCAATGCATCACACTTGGGGTCTATCGAGAATGATTACAGAGATATAGGGTGTACAAAATCGAGATTTTTCAACTTTAGAATTCTTTTGTCTCGAAACTATTCATCATTGGTCAAAACGGCTTGCGTGTCTCTATCTTAACTTTTGATTCACTATCAACTGATATTTAATTTGAACGAATACAGGGTTGTTCATAATTCTGAATTTTGAACTACCCTGTATTCGTCTAAATTAAATATCAGTAGTGAATCAAAAGTTAAGAGTTTCGACACAAAAAAATCCTAGTTGAAAAATCTCGATTTTGAACACCCTATATCTCTGTAATCATTCCCGAGTGTCATGTATTGATGGAATCAGCTCACAAAAGAGAATCCGGTAATGTAATAAAAAAAGGGTGTTCTATAATAAAAAGTATAACTTTGATACGCCACGCATATTTGAGTCACCCTGTATGCGCAAAGTAATTTAGAAACATGCTGCTCATGGGCCTAGACTATCACAAAAATGTGTATCTCAAACAATATCTAGAACAGCGAAGCCGTTATCTCACTTTCCCATTTCAATGACTCACCGACTATAGCGTCATTAGCATTAATGTTTTCTTGAAAATAACCCTGTAAAATATCAGGTCTGGTTTCAAATTACTGATTATCGTCACTTTATGTGAATATCAAACTCCTCATCAGCTGTTCACTCCTTAAAATATGTACCCGAAGCTCATATCGCCATCATCCCTGACGAGATAATCATCTGGAGGACTGATTGTAGGAATTTGTTATCAATCATTTCTAATGACAGGAGTAAAATTCATACATGAACCTTCGAGAATGTTGAGCAATTTAGTTGAAACTATTAATGTTGAGCCAGCACCTGGCCAGAACCAGAAACGCCCCATCACATACTGATGGAGGGTGACGCTGTACATCACAAAAGATTGAACATACTGGGAACACACCAGCTGACTGTGGAAGAAATACCCCAGCTAGATCCCCTCAAAATTCTCAAATTCCTGAAGGAATTGAATCTTAAGAGGCTGCTATGAACAAGAAATCCTTGATATAGCAGAAGTAGATGGGGCACAATAGATCTAATTGGGTCGCAGCGCATCTGTCACCATCCAACCTACCAATACCAGCATCTGGTCAGTTCTATCTACAGGGTGTTTCACAGGTAAAGGGAAATATTTCAATGGTAGATAGGGGCCACCAAGGTGGTTCTGAAAATACCATATTTGAACGGTCTTATAGTCTTCATAACGGAGATACAGGGCGATTTATCGATTTCAAATATTTCTTCATTCGTCTATAAGTATTGAACTACCCAGTATATTTTTCTAAAATTTGGTATGGAGCGTATACTTGGGACGTTGAATTCTTTCACCTATCGGGCGAAGTGAAAATACAGGTTCGGCTTCAGGAAAAATTTACATTTATTCGAAATATTAAAATAACACCAGGAAGTAAAAATAGACAGAGTTCATCAAAGGAATCGTGAAGAAGAGGAAAAACTGAACTAGATTTGATGCTTTTTGTTTTCCCGCCACCAATTATCAGCGTAACAATCATAAACAGGAAGCTAAAAGTATGTCAATTTCAAGAGTATCAAAATTATGAAACCACTTCCAATTATGATTATTTGATATATTCTTGTTAAATGATCGTTCAAAAGAACTTACTAAGTCTCACAGTCTTTATAACAGAGATACAGGGTGAATTATCGGTTTCGAATAATTATTCACTCGTCCATGCATAAGTATGGAAATACAGGTTCAGCTTCAGGAAAAGTCTCATAGTCTTTATAACAGAGATACAGGGTGAATTATCGAATTATAATTATTTGGTATTATTTCCATTCCGCCTGACAGGTTAATGAATCCATCGTCCCAAGTAAGCTACATACCAAATTTGAGAAAATGTTACTGAGTAATTTTATACTTATGGACGAGTGAATAATTATCCAAAACCGATAATTCACCCTGTATCTCCGTTATAAAAACTGTGAGACTTAGTAAGTTCTTTCGAGCGATTTTTTGACCAAAATATATCGAATAATCATAATTGACACTGGTTTCATAATTTCAATACTCTTCAAACTGACATACTTTCAACTTTCTGTTTATGATTTTTACTATGAGAATTGGTGGCGGGAAAACAAAAAGCATCAAACCCAATTCAGTTTTTCCTCCTCTTCACAATTCTTTTGATGTACTGTGTTGATTATTAACATTATTATTACAGTGTGTTATTTTATTATTTCGAATAAATGTAAATTTTTCCTGAAGCCGAACCTGGATTTTCACTCCGCCCGATAGGTGAATGAATTAAACGTCCCAAGTATAAGCTCCTTACCAAATTTGAGAAGAATATACTGGGTAAGTCAATACATATAGACGAATAAATAATTATTCCAAATCGATAAATCGCCCTGTATCTCCGTTATGAAGACTCTAAGACCTATCAAATATGGTATTTTCAGTACCACCTTGGTGACCCCTATCTACCATTGATTTCCCTTCACCTGTGAAACACCCTGTATAGAGGTTCTGCAAAGTCAATAATATTGCCAATATCAGCAATTCGAGTACACAATCTGAGCGGCAATAGCAATTTTTCCGAAAGTGCAACGTTCTCTCAACCGAAATTAGCTACCCTTCACCCGACACAACATCAGATATGTTTACGTTTCTTTTTATCACAATCATCCAACAAAGACGCCACGCTGCCATACTTACTGGACCGATCTGCGCCGACATCCGTACAGTTAAAGCCCTCGGGCGGGAATCTTTCGCTAAACCTACGCGGAAGAGATTGAAGACTTAAGCTAGGGTCACAGGTCTGAGAAGAATCGTCCGCCGAAACAGACGGAACACTTTGCGGTCATGCAACGTTATAGAAGTTATTGAAACTCAGCCGCACGCTCAGCAATCTCAAGTTCATGTTCGAGCTTTTCGACAGGAGTTCCAGGAAGTTTTTCACGATGACGTCGTACGTTTGCGCGGAAGTTTTCACTTTCAATTTGGTCGTGTTGAGGAATTGATGGAACGTCGCCCGGCGTAGTTTGTGCGCCACTTGGTATTCCGTGTTGGTGCCGAAATTTTTTCCTTCGTCGATTTTCTGGTGGTACTTGGTGTGGGCTTCGAACTCATCGGCGGAGGCTTGATAGAGGGCTTCCTGGTGCGCCTCCAGATTCATAACGAAATTGTAGATGGATATGAGGTGGGAGAACAGTTGCTGAAAATGATTCCTGAATAAACAAACCTGGACGCTTTCAAGTATTCGGAGAAATAGTTGACTGACTCGACCTCATCAAACATTGAATACAGTGAGGATATACATATATATATATTAGTACCTGTATACTGTATATTATTGAATCACAAATCAGGAGTTTATTGTATTTCTTGCTCGGATCCAAATTGCAATGCTCAATATATTGGACAAAGTGGTAGAAAAATTTCAACCAGAGTTACAGAGCATGTAAAGATCATTGGAAAATCGAAGAATACACCCCCTTTGTTTGATGAATATGATACCAAAAGTTTTTTCGCAAACCACATTCTAAATTCACGCCAGTTTTGATCCAAATCAGGACCTTAAAATTCCACATGTCTGTCTGTCCAAAAGGTAGGTAGGTTATTGAATTTACTGAAAATTTTCGAAATTAACTCTTCCTTAAATATATATTCTGTCTTGTCTCTTAATGAGCAAACACATTTTGACTGTATTAAATTTTTCAATGCTCTGGATTTCAATTGCTGTTAGTTTACCTTCCTTGGTCTCAACTCTTTTTCCGTGGTATATTCATAGTCAATGGTTTCCAGGTTTGATCAACTCTCCCCTACATGCATCCCTCCTCCTACCACCACATAAGTAGTTGTATCAGCTTTTGTACATGCCTATGCTCATTGTCGGAATTTCATGTTTGTCCCTTGACATTGGCTTTGACTTATGTCAACGTCTTGTCTACGTCATTATTTGACATTATTTTCAGTGTTTTCTAACCCCATTAGTTCAGATTTAAACATGTGCTGACTGTTTGCCCCATCAATTTTATTTATATTTTCTTTTAGTAGTTCTTTCATAAGGGCACGGGGCCCATTTTTTTAAAAAACCTGTTAATTTATGGTGTTGTCAAATAGTTATTTAACCAACTAGTGTATTAATGATCGAGATATTTTAACGTGCGAGCGAAGCGAGTGCGTTAATGTTCGAGATCATTAATCGCCATTTAATATACAAGTTGGTTACAAAATTTTTCCGTCGACTATATTTCTCATTTCTCCTGCAATGAAGAAAACTTGGTTCGCGAATTCATCATCCATCCGGAAACTGCTAAGAATCACCCAGTAGCCTTGTTACTGACATTAGTGTCATTTCACATTTGTCGAAATGATCAACATAGGAAATAAATTCCTTGTGTCAGAAACCAGGGATTAAAATCGTGTCAGAAACTTGGAAAGGCGAACCCGTTAACGGAAAATCGTCGATGAAATCCATATTTTCGATTTAAATGCAGATTCCGCTAGTTATAGCATGAACAATGAATGCACGCGGTGTATGTTTGGTTGCCTATAAAACAATCGTGCATTAATAGACAAATCGTCCATTAATAGGGGTCATTAATGAACGATTTCATATACATTAAACTTAGTCGTTAATACGAGGTCGACGGAAATAGTTATTTAACCAACTAGTGTATTAGTGAGGGCGATTAATGATTGAGATATTTTAACGTGCGAGCAAAGCGAGCGCGTTAATGTTCGAGATCATTAATCGCCTTTTAATATACGAGTTGGTTACAAAATTTTTCCGTCGACTGTATTTCTCATTTCTTCTGCAATGAAGAAAACTTGGTTCACGAAGTCATCATTCATCCAGAAACTACTAAGAATCACCCAGTAGCCTTGTTACTGACATTAGTGACATTTGACATTTGTCGAAATGATCAACATTAGAAATAAATTCCTTGTGTTAGAGAACAGGGATTAAAATCGTTTCAGAAACTTGGAAAGGCGAACCCGTTAACGGAAAATCTTCGATGAAATCCATATTTTCGATTTAAATGCAGAATCCGTAAGTTATAGCATAAACAATGAATGCACGTGGTGTATGTTTGGTTGCCTATAAAACAATCGTGCATTAATAGACAAATTGATCATCAATGGGAGTCAATAATGAACGATTTCATAAACATTAAACTTACTCGTTAAAACGAGGTCGACGGAAAAACAAATCATTTTGGCAATTAAGCTTCATATACCATTTTGGTATATGAAATTTCGATGAGATGAACGGGGCACGGGGCCCTATCGAGAACCCGTTTTTTCATTTATGAACTCGATTAAATCATTATTATTATCGATATTATCTAATACCATAGTAAGCAATGCTACGTAAAATGACGTATTAAAAAAATGGTATGAGTGGAAATTGGATTATTTCTTTAAATTATATACCGAATACCTGATGAAATGGGAATTATAGACGAAACATAAATATAAGAATAGCATGATAATTGACGATTATAATTTAATGGGTATACACAAAAATAACAATGATGCTGACAGCTCATTCTAATAATTTGAATTCATGTTGGAAGGTTGAAGAGATATTTTTTTTATCGCTTGGAGCGCAGGAAAGGAAATCCCTATGATGTTCAAAGAACATAGTGCGTTCCTAGGAAGGATAGGGATAGGAGGTAGGTATTGGAATTTTTTTTGAACTTCTGGAGATTTGTTGTTGGGAATACTTCCTCAGGCAATGAATTCCAGAGCCTAGCCGTTCTATGGATGAAGGAGTTTTGATAAAGTGCTGTTCGACATCATTCGAGGTTGAAAACGAAAGGATGTCCTGACTGGACCTGTCTAGTTCGTCTGACTGGTATAGCTAGTGAAGGGATGATAGCAGAGGTTTCCGAAGAACATTTACCGTGGAAGTATCGATAGAAAAGTGAGAGGTCCCCGACCTTTCTACGGTGTTACAATGATATCAAAGAGCGAGTGAATGTGGCGTCACCCACCAGGCGGATGGCTCTTCTCTGGATGGAATCTAAGAGAATCAGCGTATGTTTTGGTGCTGAACCCCATATGTGGGAACAATATTCTAGAACAGGCCGTATCTGCGCTTTGTAGATCATGAGGAGCTGTTGAGGTGTAAAGTAGCATTTCGCACGGAACAAGAATCCGAGTTTTTGTGAAGCAGCGTTTGCGATGGATCTGACATGATTATCCCATGAAAGAGTTGCTGATGGAGATACCGAGCATAGATATGGTGGGCTTGGTGGGGATGGTGGTGCCAGACATTACTATGTCGGGCATACTGAGTTCCGCCTTTCTAGAGAAAATACAGGCTTGAGTTTTGGTGCCGTTGAATTCAACTAGGTTGTTGGTTCCCCAGGCTGTGATTTCAGCAAGGTCTTCATTGACAGCGTTGACCTGCCTGCGCCGTGAGTTCTTAGTTTCCTGGGAAGAAATAGGAATTCTGGAAGAGAACGCAGTATGGAAGGTACTATCATCTGCAAAGCTGTGGATGGGGCAACAGATCATTGATATGAAGAAGGAATAATTTTGATGCCAAAATTGATCCTTGTGGAACGCCGGAATTGATGGTATCAGACGATACACCGTCCACCAGCACATGAAGCGATCTGCCTCAAAGATAACTCGATAAGAGATTACATAACTGAGGTGGTAAGCCGTATGACGGTAGTTTGTGGAGGAGTCCTTCGGGCCAAACACGGTCAAATGCTTTCGATATGTCCAACGCGGCAGCTAGAGATTCCCCGTGTTTTTCTAATGAAGCTTGCCATAAATGGGTGACGTAGACAAGTAGATCTCCAGTAGATCTTCGGTGGCGAAAGCCGTATTGTCATAGAAAACTATCCCCAAATGCCACTAGATCTAGATAGTAAGTCATAATCTGCTTCATAACTGATTTTAAATTGCTGCATTATAAAAATAAAATAACTTGAATAATCTGAATAGCCATTTTTAACATCAGAAACCTAACACTAGGTAGTTGAATAATAATTCTGAATATCGTTCAATGGAAACTTCCTCATTGCATTTGTGAATATCCTAGTACCTACCCGAGCATATTGCGTATCTTTACTTACATATTAGGTCAAAGTCATCTTGAGAAATAGTCACAAAGGATTTGTATAGGTATTCAGGTTCAGATTACCACAAAATGTGGATGATTAAGGACATGATTTCAATAAAATTGCGAATAAAACTAATTGATAAGGGAGTGTATACTGTTTCGGTAATGTACACACTTATAAAGGCGGCTCGGTGGTCGAGAGCGTGAAGGCGCTGAGTTCGTAAGGGGACTCCCACCGAGACATAGGTTCGAATCCTAGTTAGGCCATGGATGTATGTGTTTGTATGTATTTCTAACCCCGCACAAGTTTCGACTTATGGGGCGTTTGGTCCCAGTGCTGGGACCCACGAAGTATGCAATTACAAAAAAAAGAAACACAACAATGATTGGGGAATTTCTATAATGATTTAGTGGAAGGCTCCTCCAATTCAATCAAGTTCTCTGAGGAATCTGATAGTTTTCAGGTGTTTTTCTAGTGGTCCCTTCATATTGATTGATTGTTTGATTGATCAATAGCAGAATAATCAGTCAGGGTTCGAAACCCAAAACACTGCAGCCTTTGGGCCTATTGTATTCCTGATCATGCTGTAGACTTAGGTGAACAGGTTCACTACCTTGATAACGTTAAGCAGCCTCTTCACCAAATCATTCTTTGGAAAGGACTCTTGAGAGTTTACTGCTCCCAGAAGGTTGTATATCCAACGCGCTAGTGCTTCGCACTCCAATATTACATGGGTGGCAGTTTCCTCCTCCTCATTGCATAGTCTGCATATGGGTTCGTCTCTGTGGATGCCCATTTGATGCATATGTTTCCTCAAGGGGTAGTGACCAGTTATTAGACCCGTCACTTGTCTGACCTGACTTTTCTTTAGGCTCAGAATGTCGTTAGTCACTGTTTTGGACAGTGTTCCAACCATCAGTTTACTGTGTCTTTGTCCTGGGACATTGTTCCAGTATGCCTGATGAAAACATCCTTATTTTTCATGACATATGGCAGACAAACTGGCAAATCTTGGATTTCATGGTAAAATTTCTGCCGAACAACACAAGCAAATAGAACCTAGGATTCGAATCCAGGTTTGATGAATCTTCGGGTCTTACCATGGACTGAACAACTCAAGTTTCCGAGGAATATTCAATAGATAGGTAAAAAAAAGTAGAGAAAAATCTTGGAAACTGATATGAAGTAGCAAAATAACCTTCTTTTTCATTACACCATACATTAGAATTTTCGAATTAGAATATCACTTACCCTTGAATTTTCATCGAGCAGTACCCCCCTCTGTATCGAACTCAAAAAACAACTATGGGCATTGATAACATCATCCAGACATTCAGCTTTGTTCACTTGGTTCTGCATCTCTGCCCAAGAACATTCCAACACCTCGAACAGGAAGTAATACTGAGTTTGTCGCAGAAAATGTATCATCTTGCAAGTCAGGATATGGATGATGTGCATCACCGGTTTCAATTCTAGGAAGGAAAAAAGTTTTGGTATGAAAGATGAACGTCATGACATCTGAATTGCAGCCGATAATATTCCAACATCTCGAATATGAAGTTATATTGAGATTGTCACACAAATGAATCATTCTGCATGTCATGATAGAGATTATATTGATTCATTTCATTGTCTTTATTACCCAAGAATCATTATTGTTTATAATAGGGATACATACAACAAAACATACATATAACATAATAAATCGAACCAATTATAATTATAATTGCAGAATTATTGTTTTTCATAAAGAAAATATAATGAAATATAATATGAAAATATTATAATCGATTTGTAGATATGGAATTAAAGTTTACTGAGCAGATATTTCTTCAAATTGATTTTAATTTCGTCTGCTTCTTCTATATTCTTCAACTCATTAGGTAAATATTTATGTAAAATTATTCCATTATGGAATATTGATTGTTTACCAAAATTTTACTTATAATTATTTGCTAACAATAAATTAAATTGCCTTGTTTCATGGGCGTGAATCGTATCAACTTCATTTAAATTCAAATTTGATATGTTCAATTCCTTCCTGACAAAATGAATGAAACAACAAACTTTGAGTTTATATAAAGTTGATTGATTGATTGATAATGAAACTAGATTCAGCAGATTTAGGTTTGTATAGTTTTACAGTTGATTCTAAAGAAGGTAAATTGAAAATGCACTATTGTTTTATTTTGTAATTTCATGAGTGGCTTCAAACGTGAAATATTTGTACTTCCCCAAATAGACATTAGATATTGGAAATTTGAATAAAAAAGACAGAATTAAATACTCTTTAGGCATCTAACAGGAATGAAATTTAGAATTTTATATATAATACCAGCAATAGGATTCAATTTTTTCCTCAAATGATCTATATGTAGAGTCTACAATAATTGTTCATCAAAATTTTGTTACATTTGTATATTCAATGGATTTGTTATTGAAACATATTGGGGTATTATTCAATATGTCCGTTGTTCTTCTAGAGATGTACATATAGGTAGATTCACTAAATGCATCAATGGCTTTACTTCTCCAAAAAAAAGTTGCGTTATGAAAGATGAATATAATTGCAACAGTATATATGCCCAAGAATATTCCCCAACGCTTCGAATGAGAAACTGAGACAGTCACAAAAACGTATCATTCAACTTGTCAGGATATGAATTCTCTGTATAACAAGTTTAAATTATAGAAAAGAAGAGTTGCATCAGAAAAGACGAACAGCATACCATCTGCATCTCTGCCCAAGAATATTCTATCACCTCGAATAGAAAGTAGGTAATGCTGGCATTGTCGCGAAAAAATATAATGTATCATAAACAAGACATTCATCAATAGTTTCAATCCAAAGAGAAAAAAAGTTTCGTTACGCAAGATGAAAATCAAAGAATCTACATCTCTGCCAAAGAACGTTCAAGAAAAATGTACGTAATGTTGAAATCATCACGAAGAATTCCTAATTTATTATTGGAAAATGAATGTCATGGCATGGCATTGCATCTTCGTCCAAGAACTTTCAACACAATAGTACTGTGTCGTCGGAAGTCAACACTGTCTATTTGTGGATAATGTGAGATGTCGAATATCCTGAACTGTCAGATGCCGAAATGAATGACTGGGGCGAAAGACTACATTCAATGGCTCTTTGGGGTATATCCCTAATGAAACAAAAAATGCAGCGGAAGACGAAGGAATCCGGTTGGTATATTATGATTTAAAAGTAAGTACCTACTATGAACAATTACATATAGTTTTCATTTTTAGAATTTGGTAATTTCTCTGATTTGTCATCGGAATTCCTTCTGCAATAGGAACTAATAGAAATACTCGTGAAATTTCTAAAATAATGCAAGAAGATTGGATTCATGCAATCAAACAGGAGAACTGTTCTGACATGCTGACGAAATATGATCGTGTGTGTTGTAGACATTTTCAATCTATTAGCAGTATTAGCTTCTATTGCAGAAGTGGCAGAAGGAATTTTAATAAGAAATGACAAAGTTTCATAATGAAAACTATGAGAGATTACTATTTACCTGAAAAATCATATTCCTTCGTCTCTCGCTGCATTTTTTGTGCATTGTACAACAGCACAATGAGAAGGCATGATGGAATTGATAAATAGCACAAAAAACACGATTCCTATGACAAAATATTGTGAAAAACTATTTCAATCCTTTGATCCCTCTGTAAAGTGAGGTTGTGTTTCAATGTTTTACAGAAGAGTGAGGTTGTTGAGGCCATATTAATTATTTTGTGGATTATGTTTTATTTTGGAATAACTCGAATTGTTCTTTTATTTCCTGGGCTATAACAAAAGATTTTGGTGTATTGTGTGTTGCCTACAGAACATGAATAATTTTTGTAGCAATATTCATCGGATCACATTTTTCAGTTTGTCGAGTTTTTGCGCATTCGTGATTGAGAGTCGAGACTAGACCGTTTGGCCCTACCGAATCGTTTTGTGAAAATTGAAACAGTGAAACTGACAAACTTTCAACTTAGCATATATCTCTAATTGTGGATCCTATATCTACCTGTTTTATCCATTCTTCCAATCCTACCTATTTACCCTCATATTTATCCCCGTGGTGAGCAGAAGAAAGAAAGCATGGACCTCATTCCATCATCCAAGGTAAGCGATTAGAGATTTCCAAAATACAGTCCATATTAAGCCGATTACATAACAGAGGTTGTGTTTCAATATTTTACCTCCAGGGTCGGTCATCGTGCACGCGACCTTTAGGGATTATTTCTCGTGATAATTTTTCGTTGTGTGATTTGATACAATCCTTCAATGGGAAATATGTTGAGAGAAAAAATATCTTACCTTTAATTTTTGTGAACAGCTTGGCCATACAAATCTGCTGTCTTCGCATATTTGCCAACACATATTCTGTCCTTTTAGCCTTCCACAATGCCCCAAATAGGCTTTGATAAGTTGGCATTGTTTGCTGGAATATCGTACCTGTTGAGAGTTAAGATTATGTATTTATTTTTATTAGGTGCTATTGATTCGATTTACCTACCAATTGGTCCATCAACGATATAAACTAGACTGAAAACGTCCCAACCAGTGTCACCAGACGAGTGACTCATGAAGCTTACATTCAGCCTTCTAAGCGTTTCCTCGTCTTCGTACTGAGCGTTCGTTACACGAATGGCGGATTCTAGAATGGCACTAAGTGTATGGCTGTAGATTTGTTTCGCAGGTTTGTTCAGTTCGGGACTACGGGTTGAATTCGAATTATTTTTTTATACCATTGTTGGGGAAATTGACACTTACGATAGAAGTTCTAGCAGATGTCTGATAAAATCACCCTGTCCTAGAAGGAGATACCTTCTGAGTGATTGCAAATGTTCGTACAATTTGTATTTGTTCTTTAGCAGATCTAGTACTCTCAAAGAGGTCTCTTGGTAAACGTTTTCTAGGGTTGTGTGAAACTCGATGCTGCGTTCTGGGGCAAACAGTGCATCAGCTGTAAATAATAAGCAACTACTTTTCACCATTTCAGGTAATTGGAATTGGAAGTTAATTTCAATGCCGACCTATGAGAGGTTTCTCCTGAAAGAGTTAACCATGTTTTCCATATTGCTAAATGTCATCAAAGCGTCATCTGATAACCTTGAAAGTCGCCAATACCTGAATCTGAATTTTGGAACCTTATTAAAGCGGTGAGCAAAAATATTTCTTTAGGGTGTTATGCCTTACATGTGGTATCTAATTAATTGGGTACGGCAACGGCTAAAATAGTGTATTATGCTTCAATTGAATCGCACATGATATATAACATCTCATTCTGGTCAAACTCGTCTTGTTCTGCGCATGACGTCAGCTGGGATATAACTGTCATTGTTATTATTTGTTTTCGTGATTGATGTCTCGAACTTCAGATATTATATAAGTACTAAAATTGAATGAAATAATTTCGAAATGCCTACTTGTTTCTTTCTGGTTATGGAAATTCCAACTTACATACAAAAGGCACAGATATTGAATTTTTCTGCTTTTCCGAGAATGGAGACCTAATGAAACGAGGGGAACTTGCTGCCGACAAAATATAAACTCAAATTATGGTACCTACCTTTTATTCCTTATATCCTCATTCCAAAGTATTGACCTTTCATATTATCATCATATTCATATCAAAGTCCGTATTCCTCCATAACATTTCCATGCAAAATGTTCCCAAACAAGTGCGAAAGTACGGTTCTTGAATTACACACCTCCAAAAAATCACAAATATTTGAAACAAGATGCCATTCCTACAGAACATCTTCCGAATATCAAGTCAGAGGTAATTGAAAATGAATTCAAAACTCTTAATTTCTGACAAAATATAAATTGCAGCAAAGATTTCAATGAAAAAACGGCTAAAATTGATACTCCTGTTGTCGATGTCGGAGCAGAAGCAACGTCAACGTCGTTAACTGCTGAATTTTAATCTGTCAGAATCGACACAGTAGTGGATCATTCAGATGGGATTGGCAATGCATGATAATTCGTATGTATTTGCTATTTGCGATTGCAAATTAACTCAAGATCACAATTTCCAGAATCAATGAAATAGTAAAATCGAAGGAATCAGTACCTGTTTATATAAATTGAATTATTTATAAACAGATCGAATAATTGAAATTTCAATGAACATGATTGAATTCATTGCGCACGCCCATGGCAACGGTATCTGTCTGTGACTAGCAGCTGATATTAATCATTCCAGAATTACGTCATTTGACAGGTTGTTGAGGGGCAAACATTGTGTTTTGTTAAGATTTGTCATATAATACCAGAATTAGTGGGATCGTTTCCCTTTGAATCCGAGTTGTTTGGTGAAACTGTTATCATATTGTGGATGTGGCAGGGATGGCCAGGGCTATGCTCAAAGGTAACCTAACAAATAGTTTGTGTGCCCCTCAAGAAACCATGTCAAAATCACGTGTTCTGGAATGATTAATTGGTATCCCAGATGACGTCACATAATATGCGCGTAGGCACACCATCTTCTCCTTCCACTATGGAGAAATTGAACTTTTGACCACTTGTATGAACAAAGGATATAATAATTTCAGCACGCCCTGTATGATATAGAGGCGATTTCTCGGTGTTAATTGAATACATCAAGCCTGTCCAAACCACCACTAAAATATCAACTTTTAGTGAATTGAGAGCCCTGATTCACTCAAGTTCAATTAGGGATATATTTAACACAAATTATTTTTTTTCTCAAAAGCCGATACAGATAGGTATAGGGATTTATCAACAAAAGAGTATTGTAATGAAAAGGCAATTCTAAAAATGATATTATAATATACGGGGTGGGGTGTTCCATATAAAAAAATGAAGTTGCTAGAACTTTTTGATAGAAACGGCAGTGTCGCAATTTCGAAAATATTTTAGATGGATAGAACAGGTGACAAAATGTAAAATGCGAAATTTTCAGAAAAATCCTACGTTGCGTTCTCTAGCGTCTAACCTACAATCGACCGTGAGTTACACTGTATAGTTTGTGATTGAAAATTATGGTACCCATCACTAATAGAGTTGCTGAAAACAAATCGTTTTCCAAGAATTATTTTGAATGGTTATTTTAATTTGACGTTTCAACATGTGATACATACGAAATTGTGAGTTCCATTGGGATTGCACCAGTGCAAAGCTGATACAGTGTTAGTGTAACACTATGTAGTTCTCACTCAGTCCAACACTAGTTTTCCCAATGGTTTTCCCTATCAGTCTGAGATCAATCGAAACCAACTCACCAGTCGTCGTCCTGAACAACTTCTGCAACGACTCCCTGCCCGGCAACGTTCCCCCGTCCTTGCAAATCTGCCGCAGGAAATTGATGCTCTTGCCCGTGGCCAGCACCTTCCTGGCCTGTCCGACGGTCACGAACGAAGGTACCATTTCCCGCCTGATGCGGTACTTGTCGTGCCACAGCCTCTCGGCAGCGATGACTGTCTTCGCCTCGACGAAGAACTCGTTGCAAGGGTCGTTGATTTCGCCATCCAACAGCCAGCGAGAGAGCATTATGTAGAGAGGCTTGCAGACCGCCTTCAGGACCTTTTCTGACACCTAAGATCGCATCAACTACTTTGATGAATTCGCCAATTTGGTCTATTAATTTGATGTGTCGATATAATATAGACAGATAGATAGATATATTTTTTGCTTCATTTTTAGAAACTTATACAAGTTATGGGACAAGTCGGGAAACAATTCATACAGGAATTGCAGATAATAGCTATTTATATATCAAGGGAGTCAAGGTATTCATTTCCTCCCGCGTGTGAAGTTCGATTAAACACACTTGGGAGGAAATGAACCTTTGCTCCCAAGAGGTATATATGATTTTATCCACGAACGCATATATTTGAGAGCGTCGATCTTGAAATTGTGCTGCAAGCGGTCTATCTCTCGAGTCTCGATCCAAATTAATGTGTTGCATGATCTAAGGTTAATATTTGAATCTGAACGAAAATCAATTTGACACGTCTTTCATATTGAATTTGTTTATGATGATATTGCATTTTATTTAAAGTTTCGACTTTTGATTGAGTGAGTTCGGAAAATGAGGTGTATGAGTGTATTGGACTTTGGAAAAGAAATTGTTATTTGTTTTATAGTAGTGACGGAGACACTGATTAGGTACTTGGGTAGCACAGATCTTATACGTATATCTCTACTAAGAAAGGAAGCTGAAGCCGATGTATTTTACCTCCCACGGGAGCTAAAATTCTGTAAATTGACAGGTTTGTGTCCTTGAATGCGGGAGCAAACGCTCACTTTCGATGCAGTGAGTAGATAAAAATATATAAAATGGTATGAAACAAAACAAACATAACAGACCTACATCGACATTGAACAAGCCTTATCTGAAATAATCAATGAACTCTATGGGACTATCGTTTTACTCTTCAGGTAATATATTATATAGCCTAAGACCGATGGTTTGGTGAGATTTTTGACAAAATGACATGGACATGTGGAGATGTTTCTTTATCCTAGTTTCATAATTATGTACGGTTTCATTTTTTGCAAATCGACCAAAATTTTTATGTAAATACACTCATAATTCCAGAATGTATAAACCATACATTGACAGAATATTATATTCTCTGAATAGACCTCGACAGGAAGTTTTCATAGAAGCACTAGCAATGCATCTGACTATCCTTTTCTGAGTTATGAAAACATATTTCATAGAAGACGAGCTACCCTAAATCAAAATGCCGTATATCAATACAGACTGAATTTGACCATGGTGAAATGATAAAAGTGCCTCTTTGTTCAAAATATTTTTTATAACCCTAATCTGGTAGCATTTTGTATTCAAATTTTTCATGATATTATCACAATGTGTTCTTCGAATTTCACAATATCAGTCTTGAAATTCGACCTAGGCTTTCGATTTAATTTTTTGTATCTCAATATCTATTGCTGAGGTACTTCTGAATACATCATTTTTGTGTCTGATGATGGCCTGTGGCCGAAACTAGTTACACTACTTATATTAAACAATTTTTTCGTGCTCGACAAACTTTGGGACTTTTATTGCTTTCTCTTCTAAAAATCAATTGGACCACTTTGAGAAATATGGATGGTTTCCACGATTTTATATGATAAACTTACTCTATTCTATTCTATAGTTTGGAATACACTTCGAGAAAAAATGGCTTAGATTCATACTGAACTACATAGGTATATCAGTTAACCAAGTTATATCAGTTAACCACAACCTTTTTCGATTACAAACTCTTACCTCTTGAGCGCACTTTGATCCGTGCTGAAGGAAACCATGGATGGCCGTTATCAAAGATCCGCCCTTTTTGTCGCTGCACTGTTCAGCAATATAGGCGAGCCATTCGAATCTGGTGTGGTGTTCGTGCATCATGTATAATGCCCTCTTGAGGGTCATCTCGGAATTTTCCATAGAACCATGTCTGTTCATCTGGAAGATATGTAATTGGAGAAGTGCCTAAATCTTTTTAACCATTCCCATCACCTGATAGGCGAAACATGCTAAGGAGTACGCCCTCTGTCGTCCTGAATATAACTAACGTATGGGCCATGTAATACTTTGTCTAACTTTGTTCAAATTAGTTTACATGTGTTCCATTTGAGAAGTTATCGAATAAATTTGTTTGAAAATATTCAACACGTTGAAAATATAGCATAATACCGCCTGTAAACAAATATAAACAATCCAGGAATGGCCCATAGGGTAGTACCAGTTTCGCCGTTCTGGCGCTGCGATCTTAATCTCAGTCGCCTATATGTTGAGATTCGTGTTTTTTTCATTATTATTTTTAAATGAAAGCTTTGAGAAAATTACTTTTCTTTATCACTTGTGTATATTTCTGAAGAATAGACACGATAGACTGATGAGTGAAACTGAGAGCAACATTGAACTTGAAATCTAATTTTCACAGAAACAACCTAAGATACGACATATTTGCAGATCCAATTCGACTTCGAGGTGATAAAATTAAGACCAATCTCCACCTTTCCTTTAGTATGAATAAAAAAGAAAATGTTCCCAAAAGATCAGTCTACAATTTTCTCATATAGACCGAAAAATCCCTACTTTCTTTCTTTACCTCTGTGTATGATATAAAGACGAATCATTTGAAGGTGTTTATTCGTCACATGTATTCTTGAAGAATCAAGATACAATTCTTGAGCAAAAAATTTAAATCGAGCGATTGGTTCAAGAGAAGATTTATGTCAAACTTAGTGTACATTTTGCCCGTTTCCCTAATTGTGCCGGTGTGACGTATTAATCACGCGAAGATGAAATAATTCGATTTCTTCGACTATACCGTAGACTAAATAGATATCGATTTAACAAATTGTTAAAAACATTAAACGTCAGATCTTCTAAGTAGGTACCTACTCGAAAGTATATCCAACTTTAAGAGGTCAGCCGTAAACACTGTAGCATGCAGTGATCACGCATCAAGAACGTGGTTACTAATGCGGTTCTGCAGACGGTACACCTCTACTCTCGCCTACAGACATGACTTTCCTGGCGCTTTGGCTTTGACCAATAAAAAATATTTGAAATATTATCACGCGTTAGTCGCTTTGTTTACCGCTGGCCTCTCGTACTTGACTATACTATGTCAGGGCAACGTAGTTTTCGACATTCTTTTATGATTTCATGGTACAATACTGGAGTGGCCCATTCGTGAAAGTATCATAAACGATGTTTAACTTTTGGCCTTCAGTGAAATGGGCCTTTCCAGTATCGTGAAATTTGACCCATTTTCGCTCCAATGTTATGTAGGGAAGTCTAAAACGTTATCCTGGCCACATATTTGTCGAGGAAATCGAACAAGAAATGAATTATTCAATATTAAAAATACTATTTCAATACCTGTTAATTCAAATGCTATACTGAGCTGTGATGCAATTTGAATAATGGTTCGATTATTGGAGTTTTCAACGGCTGGGAAGCACGCCGATGCTGCCAGGTCTCTATGAAATCCCTGAATTGATCGTATATATGCAAGATGGTGTGATGAATGCCATGTTTTGAAATTACTATGTAGTAGGTGATTAGTTGATTGAAAATTCACTGCTAATAACATTCAATTTACTCTGAACTTCGAAAAATGTCATTAGTTTCAAGATTAACTAGTATAAAATGTCATGCTGACATCTAACAGTGAGACGCTTTTCATATGGTTTGATATGTTATGATTTTGTTGACTAATTGTTATAATCAACAAATCAAACAGAGTTACTATATCTCAAGTACTATCTTTCCTGGAAAATTTAATCGCTAATGTGGCAACTATGTTTACAAGAGAAAGAGATGAACACAATGTTGCCAAGTTGAAATACCTCATCCTCCGCTTTACTTGACTGTTCTCATTTCTCAATATTATTGACAAGAAGACAGTGATGCCTGTTCTAAAATCGATAAAAAATAGAACCAAGTAAGTAATTTAGTATTGATTGATTCAAAATTTGTTCCTTTCCCTATGGTAAGTAGGTATAGGAACTGATTTCATGAATATCTGCACTGTAATTCAATGCAAAATAAAATTTCACTTACAATTTTGAATAATATAGCAACAAAAATCAACCATCTGAGTATGCAATGCAATTTGTCAATACCACGAATTTTCAAGTAGGTAGGTAGTATTGAGTTATCTAACAGCATCTGTATTATTTGCTGAAATGCAGAAATCGAGAAATGAATATCCGACCAATCATAGCTTTCTGTCCAATTGGCATCCTTGTCAAGTCCATTGTGCATTTTATTGGCTCCACCAATCCAAATTGCTCGCGCACTGACGTCACACGTTTCGCGGTCAATTCTGATCGTTTGAATTCGCTCTTTCATTTTGGCGTTTTCGATAATTTTTTATACGATGAATTGATAGAAAAAAATCTCAAAAAATCATTTCAAGGTATTCCAGAGCCATATATTTCGAGATATATTTCTTCTAGAAACGAATGAAAAGGCCCACATTCCTTCTACAAACGAAAACTTACGCTGGCTTGAAGCAGAGCGACCGTCTTGTAATAATCGGAAAGCTCGTCGCTTAAGGTCGCTATGAACGCCTGGCAAATCATCCCGCTCCTGTTCTCGTTGTCCTCGCAGTACCTCTTCAATTGGTTGTGCAGGAAGCTGATGCCGGTCAGACGGTCGAGGACGCCTCGCTGTGGAACGTTTGTTCAGGCTTAAGCGAATTCACGAAATATTTGCAAGTCGCAAAACAGAAAATAAACGGATGTTCGTTCATTCTTATGGTCGATTCAGAATAATTTCCATCCAGCAACAATGTGAGCTAGGTTTGGAGGTATTTCCAGCGATAAGAATGAAAAGTGTGTTAAAAAATGAAACAGTTTAATTGAAACATAAGTACTTACTCTTAATTGAAATGTTGCAATAAGAGTAAGTATGTATCTATTCCAATCCAATGTCAGTAGATAGTGAATCAAAAGTTAAGATAGGGACATAAAAGCCGTTTTGAGCGATAATGAATAGTTTCGACACAAAAAAAAATCCTAAAGTTGAAAAATCTCTGTAATCTCTGGAGGAAAAGCATCATATTCCTCCCTTGGTACGTAAATAGCTATCACTCCCCGATACACAAGTTTATAGCTGACATGATTATTAATCGAGTGGGTTGTATCACGTTGTAGGTTTCAACAGCAGCGACAAAATGTGATCTAATCTTCAATTATTATACGTTCATACCGAAGTTTGTACGATTCAACTGAATAAATTTGGTATATTCGTCAATTCAATGAACCTCAAATTCTGATGACAACACTTTGATATCTATGATTTATATGTCATAATACGACATTGCTGAAATCAGTTGATTCATGAGATGAACGATGAATGTTAAAATATCCAAATAAGCTTAAGACTCGGTTCGTATGACAACGCTGTATCATCTCACCCATAGTGGAAGGAGAAGATGGTGTGCTCAACAGAAAGCTCAAACTCGTCTTGTTCTGCGCATGACGTCAGCTGGGATATAGATAGATAGATAGATAGATAGAATTTATTAGTTCCATAAAATCCACATAATAGGATGTAGAACATGTCAAAACAAGTACATATTTTATGCATAGATGTTTGAATCTTTACACTTACATTTGGATACATATCATTGAAGACGAAATGAACAGCTAAATGTCACCATATATAACAATACTAATAATAACAACAATAATGATAATGACAACAATACTAATAATAACAATACTGATAATAGAAATAAAAACGACTTGTATATAATGAAATTCAGAATTGATATCTTGATGTTATAAATCAATTAATCTGTATAGGTTCATTGAAAAATTCCTTCAGACTATAAAAGGCTCTAGAGACAAGTATTGTTTTCATCTTTGTTTTAACTGTCATTGTTATTATTTGTTTTCGTGATTGATGTCTCGAACTTCAGATATAATATAAGTACTAAACTTGAATGAAATAATTTCGAAATGCCCTCTTGTTTCGTTTCTGGTTATGGAAATTACAACTAACATACAATAGGCACAGATATTGAATTTTTCTGCTTTTCCAAGAATCGAGACCTAATGAAACGATGGGAGCTTGCTGCCGACAGAATATAAACTCAAATAATGGTACCTACCTTATATTCCATATTATCAGTATTCACCTATCATATTATCATCACATTCATATTACAGCAGGTATTTCTTCATAACATTTCCATGCAAAATGTTCCCAAACAACTGCGAAAGTACGGTTCTTGACTTACACCTCCAAAAAATCACAAATATTTGAAAAAAAAAAAACCATTCCTACAGAACATCTTCCGTCGAATATCAAGTCAGAAATAATCCAAAATGAATTCAAAACTCTTAATTTCTCACAAAATATAAATTGCAGCAAAGATTTGAATAACGAAACGGCAAAAATTAATACTCCTGTTGTCGATGTCGGAGCAGAAGCAACAAGCAACGTTAACGTCGTTAACTGCTGAATTTAATCTGTCAGAATCGACACAGTAGTGGGATCATTCAGCTGGGATTCCTAATGCATGATAATTCGTATGTATTTGCTATTTGCGATTACGAATAACCTCAAGATCACAATTTCCAGATTCAATGAAATAGTGAAATCGAAAGAATAGGTACCTGTTTATATAAATTGAATTATTTCTAAACAGATCGATAAACTCATAGAAATTTCAATAAACATGATTGAATTCATTGCGCACGCCCATGGCAACGATATCTGTCTGTGACTAGCAGCTGATATTGGTATCCCAGATGACGTCACATAATATGCGCGTAGGCACACCATCTTCTCCTTCCACTATGATCTCACCGAACAGTGAATTATCGATATTTTTCGACTATCAATTCGCTACGGCACTGATTGCGGAAGGTTGAGAGATGCGTATCTATAAATCAGGGGTTATAGTTTATCCAAAAACAATTGCAGTCTCGTGCCACACCTGCAGTCACTTCAAAAGGAACATCAACGCCGCACAGTGCGGGATATTCTGCAATTGATACTGGATATACTATACGTGCGACGCTGAACAATTTTCGTCCTAATGAAAGCTTTTCGTTGGGAATTTATTTTCGGAAAACTAAGACATGAAAATAAAAAAATGTATTTTTTCATCGTGATGAACGTCATAGTATTTTTCTAGAAATAAGAGTGCTTGCCTACTGTATTTATTCATTTTGCGAATTTCGAATAAGCATGAACTTACCTGGATGCGAGTGAGCTGTTTGCCCGATTTAGGGTCGATGGAGAAGCCCGTGGAGCCAGGCTCTTTGCGCAAATATTTTCCTTCGATGCCTTGGAACGAGTAGACCACGTCCTGGAGAATGTCGAGTTCCGACACGATGGTTGAACCTTGATGGACAATGGGAAAAATGTCTGATATGTGAGCGGAAGGACGAGCGGACTGTTTTGTTTTAGGACCAAAGTATTGATATTGTCACGAGTGGAACATACGGTATATTAGTAATTTCGAACCATAAGGGGTTTTATAAACATAAGTTTAATCAAATCATCCGTTGACATTTACTTATGAAAACTGACCAAGGAACTCTCAGGAGGAACGTACAAATCTAATAAAATAATGTGTATAAATATTAGATGTGAGGGTTTCGAAGTTAGTCTGGTCTGGGGCTAGCTACTCTTGACTTAACAAGAGCTCGTCGTGATGGTCATTATAATGTAAGTTGTTATTAGGTCTTTATATTCATTGTTGGTTATTCATATTTGTCATTGCTACTCAAAATGTTTCATGCTTCATTAAATATTGTCATGTGTCAATATAGTCTCGTTCTTTCAGTTACCCCTAAACTATTAGTGCCTATTCGAATATTACCTCTCGCAAACTATTAAGTCAAGCTAGCCCCTTATAAATCGATATGGATGGACTGAATCATCTATCATATCGTGACAATATCTAACAACTTACTAGTGGCTCTGCCACAAAACAGCGCGTTACAAAACAACGCTGTAACAAAACAGCGCGTTATAAAAAAACTGTTTCGACAGGGAAACACTATAATACTAATTGCCCAGCCATTGTCGTTCTAAATGACAACCTAGTTAGGTAGTTAGTAGGCAAGAGCTATAATATTGTCTGTCCATTGAAAAAAAAATGAAGAAAGCTGTATTTCAGAGACATCTACGTGAACTAAGTAAACTAGGTTTTTCATTTTTTATTCCTATTGCATGATTTATGATGCAAGTTGAATTTAAGTAGGAACTGCGGAAACCTCGGAAACTCATGAGTGCTGTGATGAAAAATACATCACTGTTTTACACTTTTTCGACATGCAAACCAAGCATAAAGGTAGGGGCTGCTTATTTCCTTCTATATTTTTGATAAGTTACTATATAATTGATGAAATTTCGTTATTATTTCACCTTGATATCCAATGAATATTGCATAAACCCATTGATGCTTCAGGATTTGAGGCTCAAATTTACGACAGTGGGGATTGGGGAAACCATGTCTTGATAATTTTACACCTCCACCTCCTGGAGTGCAATGTTTTTAGATGACGTTGCAAAATAACACAATCACATTCACAAACCAATCAACAAACTATAATAGAACAACCAATACTAGAAGAAATAATATGGTATAATTGTAATTTTCGAATTCAAAGTTCAACACATCCACAAAGACGAAGTTATAAGTTAATAACCACTGTCAGAAAATAATTACGATTACGACATTCAATCTCATGAAAGAATCTTCTTTTTCATCGCCTTCGTATCAAATATCACGTCAATGATGGAAAGTACGTCTGTGGTTTAGTATACATATTGGAGAAAAATAGAAGAAGAGGATGTCAACCTAATATTGTCTATTTTGACATAAACAAATGAGCTCTTTCCACATTCTCTTCACCAGCGCCACTTGACAGACAGAATATTTTGATTGACTGAACAGACAATGAACCTCCTCGCGTACTAGGTCGCCTACTAGGTTTTCATTTAGTTCGACAATGGCCCATCTAACAATGCGATGTCGACGTCACGGGGACGTACATTTGTCACACTCGTTTGGATGTCGTACCAAGATTACAATGAATATCGCATCACGATACAACAGAAAAATCACATTGAAATGGCACACTGGCCTATGAGCATTATGTTAGGATTTAATAATATTATCAATAATGATAATAATAATAATAATAACAAATATCATCTCTATTCATAATTTGCACAAAATAATCACACAAAACAAAATATCTATCTGCAATGGTGAATATAATTAACTTTGAGTTACCATGGACTTCCTCCAAAGATCCAAGTAACGTTCTCCAGAAACGTCTAATGTGCCTTCCACCGTGAATCAGCGTATATATTAATAAGAGAATATTATGAGAAGAGAAAGAACAAAAATAACGACAAAACAAAATTATGGATGAATCCCGAACATTATTGCATTCAATCGCTTTTTGTAAGGACAAAACAAAATTATGGATGAATCCCGAACATTATTGCATTCAATCGCTTTTTGAAGTTCAGGAAAGATCTAGAAAAAATATCTAGATCAGAAATATTTCCAACAACAGAATTATAGGATCTAACGCATAAAATGAATGGTGAATGTAGTATATAGATGATTCAGGCTATGATTCGGATGTTTATGTAACATAGCGATATGATGTGTGGAGACAGAAATGTGAGTCAGTCAATATACGATAGCCGAGCTATAAAGAGTTACTGGTGTTTTATTCTATACAATACGTGATAGTGAAGATTATACAGTGAATTTAAGTGTGCATTCGTTGGGCTTTGGCTTACCACGAACAAAGGTCTATTCCTAACAAAGTACTGAGTGCAGTTGAAGTTGCGACTACTGAGAAGGGACAACGAATCGAGTGAATTGTTAACAGAAATCGTTTGAAATTTCGTATTTATTCAGGATGTAATAATTCGCATTGTTTACATATACAGAAGTACTGAAACTATGTATTAGAAACAGTTGCAAAACACATCATTCAATTGGTATAATCACGATGCAACACATGGAAATGAATCGAAGTTTGATCGATTTCTATAAAAAATATTGTTTGCGTACCATAATTAGCAATATATTAAGACAGCACATCGTATCGATATTCGAAATGCCACCAAGAATGTAGGTACAGGGTGAACTGAAGAATAAAAAATCCCATATGATACAAACTTCAATAGTGACACTGATGATTCAATTTCTTTTCACCTCATCCCGTATACTCACTATCGATATCGGAATTAGTCATACTACTCATACTCGTTCGGGAATCGGTTGAAAGGATGACGTAACTGATTAGTCATCCGAACGATGAATCAAACCATTCGGCAGTCTCGTTTTAGATCTCATCGCGAACGGTCGATTAAAGTGAAATAGAAAAAGATCAAGTGACATAGAAAAAGAACTCAAATAATTTAAAAGTGAAAAATGGAAATTCATCTTCGGTTCAGTGATTGTATTTCATTTGAGTGTGTCATTTTGTTCTAGGTGGTAAATGCTTTTGTATATGAGTATGGAAATATTCATCACATGGCTAGTATTATTTCCATATAATGATGAAGACATTTGGAATTCGCATTCTATGCCTATATATTCAGAGGAACTAGATGGACATTATTGCAACAAGTTGCGAAACTTTTGCCATGCGAATTATACCAATCGGCAGTATCGTTCTAGATTTCATCGCGTGCTGATTCAAGTGAAATAAAAAATAAAACTCGAATTATTCAAAAATGAAGAATTCAAATTCATCCTCGGTTTAGTGATTGTAATTTCATTTGAGTGTGTGAAAGTGGTCTTCTTTCTAGATGGTAAGTGATTTGGTATATCAATAATGAATAACCCTGTACGTTACTAATTTTATATCCCTATACCTTCTGGTGTCGCGCGGTAAGATGCTACAAAAACTGCGAGGCAGTAAAAACCTTTTTCTCCAAGCGGCATAGAAAGTGGCTTTTCTATTAAACTCAACAGGCATCAAAGGTGTACTCTCTTTGCCTAGGCAGAAAAAGTTTGTTGCTATGCAACGTCCAAGTAATTTGAATGAAATTGGTAATCAAAAATGACACTGACATTGGGTGAACACAAAATGATGTAGTTTTCAATAAAAAAATACACAAAATTGGTTTTATAACATTTGGGGAAAACATTAAATGTTTCACATGGCAGCAAAGTAGATTGACTGCCTTGGCTGAATTCCCGTATATTTCAAAAAAATATATTGCGATTTATAATTGCATGAATAGTTCTTACTCTGGAATACTACATTCTTACTCTGGAACTACTATATTATTGAACGTCCGACAACATTGCAAAATTCAATGATATGTATTGCCCGTGCTTCTGAGCTCGCCAAAATCAAACGCTCTGTACATTATATTAATATTATTACATTCATATATCTGCCATTGTTATTTCTAATCTTTACCCTGTAGATAAATACTACACCTATTTTCGTCTCCACATTCTCATGTTTCAATATTTTTGAAAAATCTCGGCCACTAGGTAAGTGTAATAAGTCTCTTCAACTCTTCATGCAAATGGTAACTTCCTAAATTGATAACTATGAAACCAGTCATGATAGGAAATTGAATTTTCAAGACAGTGTTGAGGAGAAAATGATAAATATATTATAAAATAATTAGGGAATTTCACCAAGTTAATCATGAATAACAGGGTGATTAAAAAAAACACGGTTATTTGTCATTTTCATCATCGAAAATCTTCATGATCACCCTATATATCCCAACAAAATCATGTTCATATGGCATCAGCTATCTTTGGAAGATAACAATTCACTTGAATATACAGGATGTGTATGAATAAATTGGTCATAATATGTGTCACCAATTTTTCAAATCACCCTGTATGAAATGTATGAATTGTGAATTAAGATGGAATGAGAATAGTACATAGAATTTTCAGACATCACTGAAATATTTTTATTTTTCTCTCTGTAAACAGTTACATAATCCTAACCATATTTTATGTTAATGATATGAGTGGAAAAAATTGTACTTGGCACCTTTGAATTTTGATAAAATAATTAAATAAGAATTATCTATTTGTAACTTCAACCCCCTATTTTTCAGAATCTGTTCATCAAAGAACTTTACAATTCTACAGGTTCAATCGAGACACCGAGAAAACTCATACATGATGTAATCGAAAATTGAATAGAATTGAACAATCAAAATGACAATCCAAGATGAGAATCATACTTTCAACACTTTTAGTAAACAATATACATATATATAGCGTTTATACTATGCCACTAGTTTGATAGTTTTATTTATTTATTTTCATTCGTGTTTCATCCTTTTATCTTCACAATATTATATCTTCATCTAATTTATGAAATATTCACATAAATGTATTGAAAATTTCGATAATTATTTGTCAATACCATAAACCCAAACTAACCTGCTTATTATTATTATTATTATTATACACGATATTTTCATTTTTCCTCTCTGTAATCATTCTCGAAACAAGTGTTCTGTCACTTTTTGAGTATCATTTATTCACCTATTAATTGTTTGTTCACTGTCTGTCAGAATACCTACTCTATGTAGATTTATGTACATTTATGTGTGTGAATAAATATTATTATTATTATTATTATATTATTAATCAGTTCATCGAATTCTACAACATACTGAAAATTCTGAAAATTTCACCAAGAACCATTTTACCTACTAAAAGTGCTGAGTCCTTTGTATTTTAATGTTGTATCAATGAGAACCAAGGCATGTATTAGAGCTTCAAAGCTTCACCATCATCATGAATGGGAACTTTCCTACAATATCTTTTCACAGCTATATTTCAAATTCATATTTCAAACTCAGGTATTGCCCATCTAGACACCTGTTACCATACTATTGAGTCAAACCTTCACTAATGTTTGATTAATGGGGTATCAGTCAGCATTTGATTAGTTTTGCATAAAGAAGGCTGCAGAACATTCATTGAATATTTAAAAAGATTGGTGAGTTCACATAAAAAACCTCAAACTTCATTGAACTTATTTTATTACAATAGGGTGATATTTTATATCCAGTACTGAATTTATGAATTTAGACACATTTAATATCCTTGTATTTGCAATGTATTTTTGACTTGTATGAATATGGTTTTTAAGTGAGTTTGTCATTCCAATAGGGGATGTGCAGAAACCAGTTTCAAATTAATTTGCAAAAGTCAAACTTGAGTAGGTAAATAAAAATGTACAATATACAGATTAAGCAGTACCTAGTAGAATATTTTCTTGTCACACAGACAAAAACATTTCAAATAGTAATAAATAAATAATCAATATTGTTAATTTATTTTGTCTGGATTAAAATCAAGTCAGGAATGGATCATTATACCCTCCATAGGTTTGCAAAAAAAAAAGGAAAATATGTGGTATGACAAAAAAGTAGAGGAGGAGAGTGGAAATAATGTCCACTAACATGATTATTTTTTGAAAATATTATGGATTGAAACAATGAGTTTCATAATAGGTACATTGTACATTCAAGATTTTCTAAACTGAGTAGGCATTGAAATCAAGTAATTATCTATGTTGCAGTAGAGTTCAGTAAGGAACTGCTATTACATAGGGTGATCAAGTTAAAATGAGTAAAAAAAATCAGTTTTTGAGATCCATGGTGAAAATATTCATATATATATGAATTTCTGATGAATAGGATATAGGTAGTGATAAGAATTTTGCCTAAATTATACCATGTGTATACATATATCAAAAATGAAATGTTTCACATATTTTTCCTTGTACTTTTCAATATACTTTATGGAAAAATAAGTAATAAGCACTGCCAAAATATCCATTTCTTCCAGAACAAAATATGAAACTTCAACATCAAAAAGCTTTGAAGAAGTGTTCAAACTCTGAAGAAATCATAACTGGTTATGTTAGGTAATGATATTATAGCACATTTATAGCCCTATTATAAGCAAATAGTGAAACAGTCAAATTGTATATCTATTTGGTGGTTCCACATGCAATCATGATTCTATAACCAGTGATTAATCTAGCAGTTGCCTGAATAACCAGGTTATTTCAGTGGTTTCCTTTACTTACTTGATAACTTTGAAGATGTGGGGATATCATTCTTCGACCAAGTAATTGATGATATTGTAGTAGTTTGTGATTGTACCCTTGTTGCTGCAAGTGCTGTGGAATGTGAATTGTTATTGGCCCTCTTTTCCCTACTATCAAATAGGTGTCTAACACTATCTTGAGAATTACTAGTTGAAACACCAAAATGAGGCCTCAACTTCATGAGTTCCTTGGAAACAGTATCCCAAGAGGATAATTCATCTTTAGATTGTTTCTGAGAATCATGGGACAAATGGTAGAAGAATTGCAAAATTGCATATCTGTTTTGCAGTAATCCCTAGAAAATCAATGAGCAAGAATGAGTTGAAGGTAGGCATTTCATGAAGACACATTATTACCGATTCACAAATTTTGGAGTACAAAACCTCAAATCTATCTATTTTTTCTTTAGATTGTGTGGAGAGATTTTTCCTAATCTCTGCCACTATATATGCTTCATCACTAGCACTGGGAGTTCTCAGAGCGGTAGACGATGAATAAGACAAAAAGCTGAAAGCTCGTTTACAAAATTTGGCTGTCAAAACTGAAAAATGTGAATATAGTAGTACCTAACTAGCACTGCATAAAGAATGTTAGTAGGACATACCTTGATCATTCTTGGCTAAGTTATTGCATAATTTCAATATTAAATCTGATACACCACTGCTCTCTATTGAATCTCCAGGATCCATTTCGAAATATTGTAATTTCTTCAACTGAACTTCATCCCTGCAATTCAAATAAATGCAAATTTGTAAACAACTTTCATCAGTTTCATAAATTCAATAATCAACTTTCAAAATTGAGGATAACATTCAAACTTCAAAAAATGTCAATCTTTCAAATGTCAAAGCTTCCAAACGTCATAAAGAAAATGACCTGCAGAGCTTACAGCGTTTACGAACCGGATCTGTGACCGGATTGGAGCATTGATTTGATGAACCTTGATCACCATCAGCGTAACAAAGAGGAGAGGATCGGGGCAAGTGGGTATCTGTGCAATTTGGGCCAAGCCCATCCCAGAATGCAGTGGACGCTCTGGTGCCCACAATAACAGAATATTCCGAGAATTGAAAATCTCTAAAACACAAGACTAAACAAAACCACCAAACATAAACATGTTCGGTGACAATACCCTTAAAATGACATATCAAATATCCCGATAGTACTAGTTTCCTAAGAATATTCAATTAATAGGTAACAAAAAGTCGAAGTTTTTATGTATGATCTGAAGATGGCAAACATAGTAGCAAAAAACTTATTTTCATTTCAGACATATGTATATATCGATATCTTCATGGGAATAGAACATGGTGTTTTCGAGAAAAATTGGAGTAATCAAATTTGACTTCAAAATTTGAAGTTATTATCTGATTATCCATTCAAGATATCAGTTCAGATTATTCGATAACCGTGATTGAAATGCTTTTGGAACTGTATGGCACCTATGCCAGTCACAAAACAGATTAAATTGTATCATCACTTCAAAGCCTTTTATCTCGTGAATGAGATATTCTCACAAACAAAGCCCTTCACGAGATATGTTCATAAAAACTTCTATCATTTTTTTGATGGCCTCTATCACCTACCTCGAATTACGTTACATATATCATGAAACATCCTCTGGATATTGCCTGATCAAGGAAAAAATTTTCATGAACAAAACATTTATTTTCCAATAATTCACAACACACAAAGACAAAAAGTGACAGGAAAAATATGTGTGAATTAGCATATTTTCGATTGATACAATAAATAAGTACCTATTTGACAATGAATGTATTTTGAATCCCAACATTATCATTCAATTCAACATGTATTATGATTGGTGAAATTTCACTCGAATCAAAATTAGTATTCAAGTATTCAAAAACGAATCACTAGGTCAACTTAATTCATTTAGTCCAATATTTCGTTCGCTGGTGGGGTATTCCGACAATGACATAAGCCCCTCATTAAGAATTTTTCAACATTTCCTTCCTGAAACTTAACTACCGTATCGGAAGGAAAATGCACAGACAATTTCAAACATCCTCTGCTCAGAACTATACTTTGAGGATTCTTGGCAACCTTGAGAACTAGTTCCTTATCTAGAGATGAATTATTAGTTCTAGAAGTTTCAGATTTTTTTATGATGCTCGTTTTACATTTTCGTGAACTTTGACTAGATGAAGGTTTGCGACTTGGCTCAATCTGTGGCTGTAACTGTTCTATTATCGTAGGAAGCTGTTGGTCAAATTTTCTCAGACAAGGAACAGATTTACTGCGAGTTTTGGGTCCAAATTTTTTTTCCGGTTCCCAAGGAACTCTTTCTTCAGGAATCTGAAAATAAATAATCGCTGATGAATATTGGAAACTTTCTGACAAATTCAAGTGAGAATATAATTAACCTTAAGTACATATATGTACACCAGGATATAGGTAATAAATGTTCCATACTTTTGGTCCTTCAAGTTTTTGTGGAGTACAAGCATAACATTTAGATTTTCTATTCCCTGACTTCAATTCTTCATCATATTCAAAGTCCAAGCCTACAAGCTCTTCAATGTCGGGCACTATGGGTTTATAAATGGCAACTCTGTTCAAAAAATTTGGCTGTGGAGTTCTCCACGAGTTATCTACCCTGTTCGTTTTCATGATGAAGTTCAACTTCTGCAGTAATAAATAGTTTTCCCTTTCGATTTTTCGACACCTCTCCTTCTCTTTTTGTTGTTTTTTCGATTTGACAGCCACGTGGCTCATATAAGGAGGAGATCCGGTATCTATGGCTGGCAATGCTGATTGTACCTGAAGAAAATATAAAGTTACCGATAGTTACCAATGAAAAATTTAAGTTCGTTACACTGGTATTTAGAAAAATATATGTTATTAATTTTATTATCGAATCCTAGCTGCAAATATTTTATTCAAACATCGCACTGATGCTGAAATCTGTACATTTTCATACCTTTCGTCGATGTTGTTCAAATTTCCTCTGTTGCCAGGGTCTAATCAGAAGCGATTCTTTTCTTGATATCATTATATTATAATTATATAGTAGAAGGTACAAGAAATTATATTTTATTATGTGAAACTTTGAATTATATGTATTATTAGATGCACTTATATGATATTGTATTGCATTATTATCTAAACTATAGTATCCTATATTATATTTGTATTATGTTGATAGCCTTCTGTTGCCTAGCAACGGTAGGGACTTCTTATCGATTACTTTCAGACCGGGTGATTCAGCAAAAATGTCCTTCCCACCCCCTAGCTCAGTTATTTTTGATCCGTTTGAAAAATCATTTTTTCTATCTCTTGGAGCGCACGAAAGGAAATTCCTTCAATGTCCGAAGAACATCGTGCGTACCCTTGGAGGATAGGACGAAGATTTTTTTTTGAACTTTTGGAAGTTATAAGTTCTTGGGAATACTTCCATCGGCGAAGAATTTCAAAGCTCTGCCCTTCTATAGACGAACGAGTTTCGGTCAAGTGTAATATTTCAAGGTTGAGAACGAAAGGGTGTGCTGACTGGACCTGTCGAGTTTGTCTGAGAGATTTTGCTAGTGAAGGAATGTTAATGATTTTTCTTTTTTTTTCTGATACCTCAGAATATATAGGGTGCTCGGAACAAACGATCTACAGGGTACTAGTTATTTTTTTAAATGGGACAACTTGTATTCCATTCCGCAATCCGTTAGAGATTCCGAAAGTGAATCCAACAATACATCAGGGCATGATGAAGTTATGTCAAACGAATACGAAGATATATAGTTTTTCTGCTTTATAAAGAGCGCACCATATGTAACGGATAAATTAATCCACTACATTATTAGCCATTTTCAAGAAAAGCCCTGAGACACGTCGATGTATACAAACCCCCCCCCCTTCGCTCCCCTCATCATGACAACAACCCCACCAATTTTTTCAAATGAAATAAAAAAAAAGTCAATATGGCTGTATAGACAATGATTAATGCACTTCAAAATGAGGTATCACTCAGCCACTTATTTCATTTCATCAAAAATTGGGAAGGGGGTGATGAGGGAGGATCGGAAAATGTAATAAACATACAGGGTAAAAGTAAAAGTGATAGTTTGATACTCCACGCATTTTGAAGTCACGCTGTACAGCACAACATATTTTAGAAATATTTTGGTCATGAGCCTATAGACCATGAAAAAAATTGTTATTCATCTATCTCGAACAGCGAAGCCGTTATCTCACTCTATTCCCACACTATTAAATTGGGTCACCCTGCATATACTTTATTACGCTATGAAATTGGGCAAACTGTTGTTAAATAGTCGAATACTTACAAAATACCACATTAGTAGGTACTTAGAAAAGCCCAAAACACGTATTCGGCAACAGTGTGCGCCATGATCCGTTGAACTGAAATATTTGGTTTCACTATTCAATACGAAAGCATTAATTTTAGCTTCCTGTCTTCGAAATTTTGTCTATTTGCAATACCAAGCACTTCCCTATAGCTTCACCACTGCAAATTGAGTTCAACTCCAGAACTCCAGTATAGAACTTGTGGAACATGACATGGTTTATACAGGTTTATAGTTATACAAGATCAATAATTATTAATCCATAGATTTTCAATATGTATTCTTTAAGAGATGCGTTTTTTGAGCTCAACAAGTGTTAAATTTCTGAAACACATGCTGCAGGTATATACGTACTCCTACTAGTATTGTCTCCTTCTTATACTCGCACACTGTACCTACAGCAATAATTTGCTACCTCGAACTCCAAAACTTGAATCACCGGATCCAATGATTATCATTCACTGGTCCTATCGAAGACTATTTTCCAGACTAATATTCACGATTTTCAAAGTGTGCCTATAAAATAATTTTCGTAAGCCACTGGCAACATCACGATTTATTATTTAATGATCTAAGGATTTATGTGTAGTTAAGTGTTCTGTGCTGCGTCTTGAGCAATCTTGTTCCATTTGAGTTTATCACTCTTCTGCACTCTAACTCTATTTGTGTTCTTGTTAATCTTGTTCTGTGTCACTTACTACCGGAGATTATTAATTTTTGTATTCCTCCTGTCACAATTTTGTATTTTGGAAAAAACATTTTCATTATGTATCGACAGCTTGCAAAAATACGGAACTCTTTAGCAGTACATCTAAATGGTAGAAAATATTTGGTTTCATTCAATACTTCTAATACTAGCCGTAAATATAGCACAGCAGGTGAGTTTTGTAGGTTATGTCTGTCTTGAAGATCTAAAAAACAATTTTTTTGTAGATGATAGATTTAGAATTAAGGATACATTCGAAGGAAGACCTTTATATTTAGATGCACAGGCTACTACTCCACTGGTATTCATTTATAATTCATTTTCTTTTAACAAAGTTTTGCATTTTCTCATTTCCACTTTCAGGATCCCAGAGTTTTAGATGCTATGTTGCCTTATTTGACGAATTATTATGGTAATCCGCATTCCAGAACTCATGCATATGGATGGGAGACTGAAGCTGCAGTTGAAAAGGCTAGAGAACATGTTGCCAATCTAATTGGAGCTGATCCCAGAGAGATTATTTTCACATCAGGTGCCACAGAAAGCAATAATATTGCTGTGAAAGGTGTAGCTAGATTTTATGGTGTTAAAAAGAAACATATTATCACCACACAAACAGTTGAGTATTACCTTCTTGAAATACATATTTGTGTAGAAGTATTATTGGAGGTATTATTGAAGGATTAAAAAATTGAATTATTTCATTAATTTTAGGAACATAAATGTGTACTAGACTCTTGTAGAGCTTTGGAAGCAGAAGGATTTAAAATAACATACCTTCCAGTACAAGCTAATGGTATCATTTCATTGGAGGAATTGAAATCATCCATTACACCTGATACATCTCTTGTATCCATAATGACTGTTAATAATGAAATAGGCAAGTATATGCTCAAGGCACAAAAAATGTTGTTTTACTTCATCATCTCATCTCAACAAGATCTCATTTTATTATGTCTCATTTCATCTCTTCTCATTTTTCCTAGAAAATTATTGTGCAGCCCATTGTGCATATTACTCTAGATAATATCCAAATATACCTAGGGATAACATCATTTTTATAGAACCTTCTTATATGCACCCAATTAATTTCTAACTCAATCTCAATGGTAAAGATTTGTTTCTTAATGTCACATTTTATAGGTGTGATACAACCAGTTGCTGAAATAGGAGCTGCTTGCAAAGAGAGGGGAGTATTTTTTCACACAGATGCAGCACAGGCAGTAGGAAAGATTCCTGTAGATGTTAATTCAATGAAAATTGATCTTATGTCAATAAGTGGTCATAAGATCTATGGTCCAAAAGGTAAGCACCTATCTATTAGTAAAAGTTGCTTGCATGAACATATTTTAGAAGCCATCAATTGATTGTGAAGGAGGAAGTCTATGATAAAAATAAGGAACTTCAGGAAGTTTTTTATAGATTACACATTTTTTGCTCAAACAAGATAGGGCAATCAAATGTTCTCATTGAATACACTGGAGAACAAAAATGTAATGCCTATTTCTGTAATACTTGAACAAAAATGTTTGAAAATAATACAGGGTTTTAATTAATTGAGTGCCAACAATACAAGGTGTGAATTCTCAGGTGATTTTAAGAAGAAAAGTTAATATCAACATATATCCTAATCCTCTCAGTTTCTCAGCTACAAGGTGTTGAAATCTTGAGAAAAAAATGAGATTTCTATCATGATTTTTAATCACTCAGATATTTTTATGAAATTTTATTCACACATTCTTATCCTCAAGGAGCATTTTTTCAAAATCAGTTCTTTACTTTCACCAGTGATTTTTCACAAAGACCATATATTGAATGTTTTGATTAAAAAAAATACTGTATGCCTCTGATTTTAACATCCTGTAGCTCAAAAATTGAGAGGTTTGGTTGATATGAACTTTTCTCCTCAAAATCAGCAGAGGATTCACACCTTGTTTTATCAGCACTCAATTAATTAAAACCCTGTATAATGAATACATTTTCACCTCTGACTACATGTATCCCTGTTTTTAATTTTTGAACAGAGGTAACTATGGCTAAATCATAATGTTTTATGTTGAGGAATCTGTCATCTTTGTTTGTTCATTCTTTTCTGTACACCCTGTGTATTGCATGTGGCTCAACTAACACAGTACAATTCCAGTGTTGTTTCTAATGATTATGTTTCATAGAGTTATTACCATAACTCTCTTTTTTTTTTGTTCAACTACAAACAAGCAGCAAAGAGCAAAGTTTGTATGGAAACTCTCACTGAGACATGGGTTCAAATCCCAGTAAGGCCATGGATGTTTGTGTTTGTATTGTTCATTATTTTTTTATTTTTTTATTTATTGAAAATGCTTCCTGTCAGAATCAAGTTCTGGTATAAGGAAGTATAGTTAACAATAATACCTAAAACTATACAATTATAATAAACTCATAAATAATATAATATTTGAAAACATTGACTATTGAATTTTGACAAATCATTTAATATTGACATTTATATGTTTGTCCTACTTTAATTTATCATCAAACAAAATCCCAAAATACTTTTTCTCATTAGTTTATTTTGACTTATGGGGCCATTGGCCTAGTTCTGAGACCAATGAGGTAATGCAATTGAAACAAAAAACTAGAAAGAACATGTTGTAATTTACATCCAGTTTCTGTTTATGATTCTTTTGAGGTCATGGTAAGTATTTGTTGCTGTTTTGAAAAGGTTATCAATTTATACAATAATAATATAAATATTGTGTCTACTTATCTATTCAACCAATCTAATCTCTCTAATTATTTATTGTCCTGTCCATCACATCACGCCACCGACACGTGAGGTCAGAGTTGGTAGAACTTATTTTCCGTTAATGTAAGAATTGGTAGTAAAGTTCCACATTGAGAGTAAAAAAACGCTGCTCAAGTTTTTCCATAATCTGAGTTTTTCTATATGTTCAAATGGGCCACATATTTTTTTCCGAGTATTTCGGATAAAGTAGGTCACAGCCTTTAGGGATAGCTGACAAAATGTTGGGATTTTTGACTTTGTCATTGACCTCACGTTTTAGTAGCCCTCATTGAGGAATATCAGAAATATCCCTGTTTACATTCAATCAATCTCACATAACTTGATTTCTAATATTCGTTTGATTTCACAATGATTTTGGAATTTCAACCATAAATTTCATTTTATTGTTCATCACACCAAAACTGATGATTCTGTAATCTGCAAAATGCAAAATGAACTCTCAATGTCAGCAACAGAAATATGTATCGGATTCTCATTGATAGTGATGTATTTAAATTACATTGTTTTCAAACCACCGCTAGTGAGCAGACTTAATGTATCTCTTCTCTGGATGGAAATTGAGAGCGTCAGAGTATGTTTGGGTGCTGAACCCCATATTTGGGAACAGTATTCTAGAACAGGCCATATCTGTGCTTTGTAAATGACGAGAAACTGTCCTTTCCATATCCGTCCATTTTCATCTGCTGGAAAGCTGACATTTAAATTTGCTATCCAACTGATTGATACAGTCTAACACAGCGCATTTTGCCATTCTTCTTAAAAACAGGCCAGTACACGAAACTAAAGTCACTAGATCCTCAAAAAAGAAAAAAGAATGGAGCTATGATCTGGCCATACCCTGTTAAGATGACAAATACGTAAAATTTGCATCAATGGGCCCTAGGTCTCACTAGAGTGACTATATAAATAGAGTGACGACAATAGTGGTACACTTTTTGATCGGTCAGACCTCTAATGTGGAGGTGCATCCACCTGTCTTGTTTTCTCCATTCAGTTCTATACCTTCTATTTTACTTTGTCAGCGCTTTGCCATTGCTTTTGGCTCATAGGACACAAAACATCCAACAATGAGACATGAAACTCTATAGATCAGTACCTTGGATATTGATTATTAGGATCCGTCTTTCAGAATTCTCAAGTCTCAGATTATCTAAATTATGAAAGGAAAATACCAAATATCTAAACCGAACATCAGGTGGGCACTTCGAAGGCGCACATTCATTATTGCATGGGGGGTACCCTTTAGATTTTTAGTTTTTAGCTATTTAGTGACTTGACCACGAATGACATTCCGGAAACGGCAGCCATTTGGAGGTCTATTGTCGTCACTATTTAATCTACTCACTCGAAGCAGGGAGATTCTATTTCACGAATCGAGTCAAATCGGCCATCTTTATTCGATATTTGGTATTCTATTTCTCGAATGAATCGTGTAAATTCGACTCGATTCCTGGATAGCTCAAGAGGAGTTCAGTCTATCATATCATCATTTTTATCTTTCATCTTCATATCAATTTGAGGTTAGATCATCTTGTTCATGTGAAAGCAGCTTTGAAAGTATAGAAATAACCACCAATTTATCATGAATGTAGACATACATTATCAGGTAATAATCTACAACTATGATATTCAATATCTACAAAAATTGCACTTTATTTAAAATAAATGGTAATCGGAGAAATAAAACAAGAATCGATTATAATTATAGACATGATAGGTACTAATAATAAATATTTTCAGGATTTAGCAGGTACTAAAGATTTGATTGCTGCATTCGCCGCAATTTCTATATCGGAATCTAAACTTTCCTGATCCAAATTCATGCCGATGAATTTTTTTTCGAATTGAAATTAACGCGTCAAAGTTGACAGTTCGCCGAATGAGTGACAACCGAGAACACAATAGATTCACGACAATCATACGCCCAACCCTTGCTACGCTTGCTTGTTACACATTCTTAATGAATTGTCAGTTCAAGGAATATTTAGTATTTTTGATTAAATAATTAGCTTTTTGGTAGTCGGCAAAATATTGTACTATATTCGTATCGTAAACTCATATTACGATAATCCTCGTTTGACAAATTTCCCATCTCATACCGTAATATGAGTCTTTACGATACTCGTATCGTAAATATCTATTTCAGAACAGCACAGAACATGGTCACGGCCACAGGATGATTTTCAGAATCTAATGGTCGTGAAATCAATACAAAAACTATGAATCAGGCTAAGCCAAGTAAATTCATTGGGGCTTAACGAGTGAACTCCTGAGAAATGGTAAAAGGTAGCATCTTTGGTATGATCCAGTTGCATAAAATATTTGCACAGAATATTTTAGATCCTGTAGTAATTCCCTTCATCCTTTGACCTATCCACTAAGTGGGGTCTCAATTATTGTATGGGAAGACGAACCAACCTTTTGTTTAATCTAAATAGCTCAGTGAATCTTTTTTCAGGCAAAGAAAAAGGATTAGGTACCTACTTCTGTTTTACTATTTGTCGTCGACGATTTAGATCGAAATTTCTTTGCCTATCTTTAGCTGCTAAAATACCATGTCGAAAACATTGGCAGCTCAAGGTTAGTAGAAGAGAGAGGTTGTCTCGTTGCTGCGCGGTGTGCGACGAGAGAGGGGATAGGCGCGTCATCGAGACCTCAATTGAGCTCTATTCTACCTTAAACGAGAGAGAGGAAAGTTATCTCCTCTTCCATCTTTCTCTTCTCCAACCTGGTCGCATTGAAATTTAGAGAGGTCCGATAAACCTTTCCTTGTCTAACATCTAGTTTGTGCCACTGAACTATTTTTGAAGTCAACAGAGTGTCAAATTAAGGATATTACCAAAAGATGTCAACATAACTATGATATAATCTGTAATTTCATTTAAAAAATTTGAAAGGTTATCAGTCAATGACATTCATGACAGACATATCACGTCATTATAATCTAACTGAAGTAACGATTTATTTGTTGAACTACGAATCATTGACGACTTGATAGATATTCTCAACACACATTCATATGTTTTGTTAAAAAAAATATATCATTTATTGTCCAAACAGGAATATACCCACTTAGAGGACAGATTAAAAAAAAATATATACAATGTTTTTTACAATAATGTTACAATATAACATGAGTAATGCGATCGCGATTTCATTTAAGGTGCCAAGAAGTAAATAGAGTTGAAGTATAGATGGTAAAATACTTATATTTAAAACATCGTTGATAATATTGTTAAGATTTGTGAAAGATCGGGTTAACTAGAATCGTATGTACTGATATAGGTAAACAAAATTGTGTTTGAATCCATTCGAAATTAATCTTGATTGTTCAGTAGTATACATTTGAGTTGATTTTTAAATTGGCTTAAGGAATGCGAATACAAATGTGTCGTGCTACAATACTTGTTGAATTCATTACACATAGAGTATATTGGTGAATTGGCCGATACATTAGTTGTAGGTGTATTGAGGTAGAAACATATCTGATTTCTAGCATTATGTCTTGGTACATGAAAATTCAGTTGGGATAATAAGTCAGGACAATCAATCAGGTTATTGACTAGTTTGTACAAAAAAATGCATGAGTAATATGTTCTACGGCTTTTCAGAGATAAGAAATTGAAACGTTTCAGTAGAGCATAGTTGTCAAAGCCTTGATTAGGATATTATTGACACAGTTAGCAACGATTGTGATGAATATTCTGAAATTACGGTCTTTCGTCATGAATGATCCGAATGTCTATTTTGTTTCTCCTTATCAGGTATTACCGTATAATTTTTGAAATTATCTCTTGATTGTAACCTAAATATCATCTGCCATACAATTTGTTGTTTCTTTATTTTTGTTTTCTTTATCATGACTGAAATATTTATATTTTCTCTTTTTCTTAGTGTATGTATAACCTGAACACTGTTAGATTAATAATTTATATATTTGTTCGCACCAATTTTCTTGTAATGAGGATTCCTCTTCAGATACAATAAATGTTATTGATTGATTGATTGATTGAACTAACTGAAATATCTCACTAGAACTGAACTAAATCAGTTATTATGTGTTCTTTCGAGAGAATTTGATTAGTTAGAATGCATGTTAACTGATTCAGTTCAGTCTAAGTGAAATATGTCAGTTCAGAAGAAAATAATATCATTATTCGCGAGTTCTTGAAAGCTGTCAAAGCAGCATGTTTACTTAGTGTTCATTGGTTCAAATTTGTTTGTGTTTATTGGTCACATCATCAAAACAAACTGCTCAGAGTTCCAAGTTGTTACCGTCAGTTGAAGTGACGTTTCATTTTCTATCGCGAATAACACCGAAAACAGTTCAGTGACGCAGACTAGAGGTTAGACAAGGAAATATTTATCGGACCTCTTTATACAGGGTGTTTCAGTTTTTTGTAGCAGGACTTCAACAGCTTGAAAAAGACATTTTTTCAAGATAAAAATCTCGAACAAACATATATGCGTGGGAGCTTCGTTTCCGATTTACAGGGTGTCAAAGTGTCAGAAGTTTTTCTTTATGTATTTCGAATTTTCTCCTACAATTTTCAGAATTGATTGAAATTTGGAACACCTAATACACTTCAAAAAATCAATATTTGAGGCTATTGAGCGTTTTTGAATACCTACAGGGTGATAGACTTTCAGGGGTCGTACACAATTTAACCCTGTGGAACTTCTTTGCGTGCCGCCTCTGCTTTCAATGTGACATAGATTCAGATTGTCTCTGCAATCTGGAAACTTTTTGCCTCTATGTAATTTTTTTGAATACTGTATGGATCTCAAAATAAATGCCAAAAATAAATTACTTGTAATAAAACCGTTATTTCTCAAACACTTATTTGACATTCCTTAAACATTTACTGAAAGTCTATCACCCTGTAGGTATTCAAAAAAGCTCAGTATCCTCAAATATTGAGTTTTTGAATTGTATTAGGTGTACCAAATTTCAATCAATTATTCCGAAAATTGTAGGAGAAAATCTGAAACTTTGTCACCCTGTAAATCGGAAACGAAGCTCCCACGCATATATGTTGGTATGAGATTTTCATCTTTGAAAAATTTCTTTTTCAAGCTGTTAAAGTTCTGCTACAAAAAACTGAAACACCCTGTATATCTATGGGGTAGCATTGAAGAGAAAGATGGAAGAGGAGAGAACTTTCTTTTCTCTCGTTCAAGGTAGAAAAGAGCTCAATTCGACTTCGTATCGTACGACAATCGACGATCATGAAACAGAATCCCCCTGCTGGCCTGCCGCTGAACGTAGCACGAAGCCCTACTGCTACTGTGTCACACAAGAGTCTCGAGATCATACCCGTGTGTTCACCGAACACGCTCGATCGTTACCTAAGCGGTGGGGAGACCGAGACGTAAGCAGGCAGTCATGATACAATGAGTGGGCAGGCAGCTTCTCTCATGCTGTCTTTGTTTTTGTAGTACGGGGTGGGCCACCAACAGTTTTCTTGATCACATTTCAACTTTTTTTTTTTCGAATAAATAAGAAACATTTGATAGGCATATCAAGTGATCTACTGCGACCTATCAGATAATGAAAGCGATGATTTGATTTGCAATAATTCGCTATGTCACGACGAGTCCTACATGTAAATAGCGAACCACTCATCGAAAATCATGAAACTATATGTACATATTATATGCTTATGTTTTGTTGGCGAGGACGCTCGTTTTATTCAAATTATTTTCGATAATGTTCATCTGCTTCACTAGAAATTATTATTAGTAGTTATGTAGTACTTAGTAGTATAGTAGTAGCAGCTTTGTTATTCAAAATGGAACACCTTATATTTTATTACATTTTTCGATTCTTCTAATTGAGCTATGATTTCGTTGATCAAGCTCAAGGTATACCTATACGTAGAATGTGAAAAATCGAGATTTTTTTTTGTATCGAAACTATACAATACCCTCGACAATACCTATATTGATTTGTCAAAATGGCTTACATGTGTCCCTATTCTAACATTCTATTTACTATCTACTGATGTCATTCAATTGAAACAAATACAGGGTGGATCAGATTTCAGAATTATATAAAAGAAGTATACTAGTATGCCTACTGAAAAAATATATACATTTGAAATAAACAAAACAAATATATCACATTAAAAAACACACTCTAATATTCAACATGAAATAAAATGTTTAAAAATATAAACAGTGTGGATGTCACTTCTAATGGAATCAACCCGTATATTTAACGTAACTGTTCAATTTTCAGGAGCGATAGATATATATACCAACTATGACCAAAGTGAAGTAATCTTCAGTGAAAAACACTGCTCTGGTCATGAACCCACCAACATTTCCGGAAAATGATATTAGGAGGCAAGATAGGTTGAAAATCACTTCGGATTCGAAATCAGGACGTAACCCTGTACCTCGAAAACGAAGCAAGTTTAGGACACATGTTTATATGACCTTTATTCATCATAATATTATATCACAAGGAATCATCCCTTGAATTATTTCGGTGTTATTTAATACACCCTGTATAGATCATTCTTCATCCCAATATAGTTATTCAACATTTTTCCCATATAATATATGTAGAACAAGAAGGCACAGCAACTACTAGTGTTCCGTTTCGAAGTACATTAAATTGACAAATTTGACTCCAAAATTATTCAGGCACGCGCCAATATTCATAACGTAGTTACTGCTGCCCGTTTACGTTTCCCCACCGCTTAGGGAACGATCGGGCGTGTTCGGTGAACACACGGGTATGATCTCGAGACTCTAGTCTGTGTCACCGCTTGTTTCAGGCATCGGCGCCATCTACATTCGCCGGCGTCCGCGCGTGCGCGTCGAGCCATTGCAGAGCGGCGGCGGACAGGAACGCGGCATCAGGAGCGGCACCGTGCCGGCCCCCGCCGCCGTCGGATTGGGCGAGGCGTGCCGGCTGGCCCAAGCCGAGATGGCGTACGACGCGGCGCACGTGCAGCGGCTGAGCCGGCGGCTAGTGGACAGGATAGCCGGCCGGCTGAGCCACGTGATCAGGAACGGGGACGAGGTGGCGACGTATCCGGGGTGCGTCAATCTGTCGTTCGCTTATGTGGAAGGTAAGAAGCTTTTATTTGCAACCATATAAGTAATGTTGTCATTACTAACGTCATTGAAAGTTGGGAAGTGTCACATTACACACCTCATATATCTACTACTAATATATGAACCATCGCTGTCCTCAAGGCGGGACCAACTTCTGTCTCTATAGGTAGCGAAATCGACCAAGGCGTTGATGCCGACGTAAGGAAAAAAATAATACGACGATATGGCTACTCATTTCCATATCTTATTTCAAATTTTCCGTCCTTCACTTTCCGTCCTTATAAATTCAGAAAGTATCTCTCATTTTGGTCCCATTTTTGTTGAGATATCATATAGGCGATCAGCCATATACAGGGTGTAAATTTGAAAACTTTCAATGCGAATATCTCGCGAAATAAAAAAGTTAGAAAAACGCCGCTTGGCAAAAATGCTAAAGAGTTAAGGGGAACTAGAACCACCATATTTCAGTGAAGGGATGAGTCACCCTGTCAGCGCGACACACCCCAACTTTGAAATGTCAAATGGCACTACCTCTTTTGTGATACCTCAAATGAACGGTCTCAGTCAGTAGTATTCACCTGTACAAGACTTTTTTTCCACCCACTACAGGGTGTACGAAAAATATAAAGTCGAGGGGTCTAAATTTGAAAACTTTCGATGCGAATATCTCGCTAAATAAAACAGTTAGGAAAACGCCGTTTGGCACAAATGCTACAGAGTTAGGGGGAACTAGAACCACCATACTTCAGTAAAGGGATGAGTCACCCCGTCGGCGCGACACACTCCATCTTTGAAATGTCAAATGGCACTACCTCTTTTGTGATACCTCAAATGAACGGTCTCAGTCAGTAGTATTCACCTGTACAAGACTTTTTTTCCACCCACTACAGGGTGAACGGAGAACATGAAGTCGAATAAAATAAAATGCAGAATGCCGATATATTCCAAGAGATGTGTTCCGAAATCGATTATACTATTGCTTACAACAGAATGGAATGCATTTTGAACATCTGATCAAATAAAATATCCTTTTAACACAATTCATTTTATTTTATTCGACTTTATATTTTTCGTACACCCTGTAGTGGGTAGAAAAAAAAGTCTTGTACAGGTGAATACTACTGACTGAGAATGTTCATTTGAGGCACCACAAAAAAGGTAGTGCCATTGGACATGTCAAAGTTAGGGTGTCTCGCGCCGACGGGGTGACTCATTCCTTGACCGAAATATGGTGGTTCTAGTTCCCCTTAACTCTTTAGCATTTTTGCCAAACGGCGTTCTTCCAACTTTTTTCTTTCGCGAGATATTCGCATTAGAAGTTTTCATATTTACACCCTGTATAGAAATAGTACATAATATGACACACCTCTACTTCCCGTCCTCACTTCCTGCCCTCACTCATGTAATAATTCAGGTATGTTCAGAACGGAACATAGGTTTATTAATTTTGATCGAAATATGATGGTTGTAAATAAAATAGTATACAAACCTCGGTAGAAAGTTTCATTCCTATCTCGAGATCATAGCTAACCTCTAATATCAGGACAGGAATGAATCTCCTTCCACCTCGGTGTGTAATATACTATTACTACACACAGCTATTCAAATTCCCTCTGCCAAAGGACCCCGCACTCCCCTTATGGAAAATGGCTCTCGGTTAAATTCCCTGAATTTTTGGTATGATGTAGATTTTGACTCCCTGGGCAAAAATGTCGATGGGCACAAAGAAATCGGCTAGTTTTCGAGATACAGGGTGTCAAAGATGAAAAGTGAAGCTTTCTGCTCAGAATTTGTAACAACTCCGAGAATTGACAGAAAAGCCCATTTATTCATGGAATAACATGCCTGAATGATGGTACAATGTCATCTGGATCTCGTATTCATTATAATTTTACGTTCTGGGCTCTACAACAGGGTGAACAAAGAAAAATCCAATTCGATTAATTTCAAACCAACCAGGGTAAGTTCTTTTATGAGAATTCAAGATCCAATTGAAGCCTGGACGAGCTTCCTCAATCTCGATCGAAGTTTACCGAAATTTTTTTCTATGTACAGGGTGGTTCGAAAATAGGGGTACATCAATCCCTATTTTTTTTTTAATCAGGAAGGGGAGAGCATGTCATATATTCTCATTCTCATTTTATATATATAGCGTGAGTTAAAAGATGCAGTCCAAGTTTCTTGAAAAAATGAGTTTTTTTTTTCAATGAATACCCTGTATTTCGAAAAAGAATCGGTTAATTTTCTAGGATTTTTGATATAATGTACGATTTGAGTAGTCCAAGATATTGTCATCAATATTAGCATAGGTCTCCGGACTCGTTTGTGGCTATATACATCCGAATGTACGGATTTTATTGATATATACCCGATATATTCCATTGAAGTCCGAAATGGGCTATTTTCCAACAATTCAAACTAATTCTACAGTATTTGAAACCTATTTCAATCCAAAGAGGAAATGACCACAAAACGTACATATTTCTTTTCGCGGACTTTTGAATTTTGGGAGGTATAATACCTTCACCACTCATTTGTTCATTGAGTACCAATTTTGTAGAAACCGCACATTTCACAGAAATCATATAAAATATTTTTCTATCTGAATTGAGATAGCTTTCAAATACTGTAGAATAAGTTCCAACCTTGACGGTTATTGCTTCTGATACATTTCAATTTTCTCTAGTTTCTTTGGAAACAGGGCTTTCAAATGAACAAAATTTTGTTCACCCTGTATATAAGGTATTGCATTTCTGGAATAGGTACCGCACTAGTCTAGTCGGAATTTTTTTCAACATGAATTGTTGGAAAATAGCCCATTTCGGACTCCAATGGAGTATATCGGGTATCAATAAAATCCGTATATTCAAAATAAGGTAGCCGACAAACGAGTCCGGAGACCTATGCTTACATTGATGACAATATCTTTGACTCCTGAAATCGTACATTATATCAAAAATTCAAGACAATTATAACTGATTCTTTTTCGAAATACAGAGTATTTATTGAAAGAAACCGCATTTCTTCAAGAAACTTGGACTGTATCTTTTTACTCACCCTATATGTATGAAATGAGTGTGCAACGTTCTCAACATAAAGAATGTCTGATATATATGACATGCTTTCCCCTTTTCGATTCAAAAAACTAGGGATTGACGTAACCCTATTTACGAACCACCCTGTATAAATAGAAAAAAATGTCGGTTAACTTCCATAGAGATAGAGGAAGTTCGTCCAGGCTCAATTGGATCTTGAATTCTCATGGAAGAACTTACCCTGGTTGGTTTGAAATTAATCGAATTGAATTTTTCTTTGTTCACCCTGTTGTAGAGCCCAAAACGTAAAATTATAATGGATACGAGATCCAGATGACATTGTACCATCATTCAGGCATGAATAAATGCGCGTTTTGTCAATTCTCGGAGTTGTTAAAAATTCTGAGCAGGAAGCTTCACTTTTCATCTTTGACACCCTGTATCTCGAAAACTAGTTAGCCGATTTCTTTGTGCCCATTGACACTTTTGCTTAGGGAGTCAAAATCTACATCATTAAAAAAATTCAGGGAATTTAACTGAAGGCCATTTTCCATGAGGAAAGTGCGGGGTCCTTTGCATTCTCAGTTTTCTTTTTCCTGTAATGAGCCAAGAATTTCCAACACTAACGATCGAACACGCCCTTCTCAGGCGAATCCCTGCTCATGGCGCTCAAGGACATCGCCCTGTCGAGCGGCTCCGCGTGTACATCGGCCTCCCTCGAGCCCTCCTACGTGCTCCGAGCCATCGGCACCGATGAGGACCTCGCGCACAGCTCGATCCGCTTCGGCCTCGGCCGCTTCACCACCGACGAGGAGGTGGACTACACGGCCGACAAATGCATCTATCACGTGACGCGGCTGCGCGAGATGAGCCCGCTGTGGGAGATGGTGCAGGAGGGGGTCGACATCAAGACGATTCAGTGGTCGCAGCACTGAATGTCAATGCGAAACAAACGCATGAAGAAGAGTTGGGGGATGAGGACGTTTGCGTGTCGGTATCGGTAGTCTTCATGTTGATGCGGTGCCAATGGCAGAGGATAAGTTGATCGGGGGGGGGGGGGGGGGGGCGAACAAAGCATCGATTCTATTTTTATGCCATTTTCTGGCGATTTTCTCGAATTTGTAGATACTTTTGTGGTGTGGTGAGGCGGAGCTGTAGCGTTGTTTATATATATACAAAGAGAAGAATCGATACGCTGAGTTCCTGCTGTTCAATTCAATAAGAAGCGTGGTTAGTTGGTTCAGCATCAAATCTCCACGTAGTGTTTTTTAAAAATTGAAATCTCAATGGAACAACTCTTTATATTTTATCCTTTCTCAATAAGTATTGAAATTACTAATATCTATAGTTGAGTTGGACTTGAGTAAATGATGATGCTGTGATTGTTTTGGTACAAGTTTGACATAATATTATCAACCCTGGATGTGATACAATCTGAATTCAATAGAATGTTGACGTTAAAGACCTTTTTTTATTCATCAATAATAGTTGTAGTAGAACGGAAAACGCTATTAGAGGAATTGTTATATTAGTTGTGTTATTGTTTCATTCAAATCTGTTGATTACTTTTTAGCATTGAAAAATGAGAATCATTGCCCAAAACTGAAATTTCCTTTCAATATTTTATGAAGATCTGAGATCGAAGGATACGAATATGTGATCAGGTGCAATGTATCAAATTTCCACTAAAACAGTGGTGGAAACCATGGTTCACAGATAGAATAAGTATATTTTACTTGAATAAATAATAAATGAAGTAGATCAGTGACTACGATTATTTAACTTATCTGTCCGCTTCACCACCGACGAGGAGGTCGACTACACGGCCGACAAATGCATCTATCACGTGACGCGGCTGCGCGAGATGAGCCCGCTGTGGGAGATGGTGCAGGAAGGGGTCGACATCAAGACGATTCAGTGGTCGCAGCACTGAATGCCCATGCGTAACTCACGCATGAAGAAGAGTTAGGGGATGAGGACGTTTGCGTGTCGGTATCGGTAGTCTTCATGTTAATGCGGTGCCAATGGCAGAGGATAAGCTGATCAGATGGCAAACAAAGGATCGGTTCTATTTTTATGCCATTTTCTGGCGATTTTCTCGAATTTGTAGATACTTTTGTGGTGTTGTGAGTGGCGGAGCTGTCGCGTTGTTTATATATATACAAGAAGAAGAATCGATACGCTGAGTTCCTGCTGTTCAATTCAATAAGAAGCGTGGTTAGTTGGTTACGCATCAGATCTCCACGTAGTGGTTTTTAAAAATTGAAATCTCAATGGAACAACTCTTTTTATTTTATCCTTTCTCAATAAGTATTGAAATTACTAATATCTATAGTTGAGTTGGACTTGAGTAAATGATGATGCTGTGATTGTTTTGGTACAAGTTTGACATAATATTATCAACCCTGGATGTGATACAATCTGAATACAATAGAATGTTGACGTCAAAGACCTTTTTTTATTCATCAATAATAGTTGTAGTAGAACGGAAAACGCTATTAGAGGAATTGTTATATTAGTTGTGTTATTTTTCCATTCAAATCTGTTGATTACTTTTTAACATTGAAAAATGAGAATCATTGCCCAAAACTGAAATTTCCTTTCAATATTTTATGAAGATCTGAGATCGAGGAATACGAATATGTGATCAGGTGCAATGTATCATATTTCCACTAAAACAGTGATGGAAACCATGGTTCACAGATAGAATAAGTATATTTTACTTGAATAAATGATAAATGAAGGAGATCAGTGACTACTATTATTCAACTTATCTGTCCCTCGCGCACAGCTCGATCCGCTTCGGCCTCGGCCGCTTCACCACCGACGAGGAGGTGGACTACACAGCCGACAAATGCATCTATCACGTGACGAGGCTGCGCGAGATGAGCCCGCTGTGGGAGATGGTGCAGGAGGGGGTCGACATCAAGACGATTCAGTGGTCGCAGCACTGAATGCCCATGCAAATTACCGCATGGAGAGGTGTTGGGGTTTAAAGACATTTGCTTATCGGTATCAGTAGTCATTCATGTTAATGCGGTGCCAATGGCAGAGGATAAGTTGATCGGGGGGCAAGCAAAGCATCGATTCTATTTCTATGCCTTTATTTGTCGATTTTCTCGAATTTGTAGATACTTGTGGTGTGGTGAGTGGCGGAGCTGTAGCGTTGTTTATATATATACAAGAAGAAGAATCAATATGCTGAGTTCCTGCTGTTTAATTCAATAAGAAGCGTGGTTAGTTGGTTAGGCATCAGATCTCCACGTAGTGATTTTTTAAAATTGATATCTCAATGGGACAACTTTTTTCATTTCATCCTTTCTCAATGAGTATTGAAATTACTGATATCTATAGTTGAGTTGGACTTGAGTAAATGATGATGCTGTGATTGTTTTGGTACAAGTTTGACATGATATTATCAACCCCTAGATGTTGAACAACCTTAATTTAATAGAATGTTGACGTTGGAGACCTTTTTTTATTCATCAATTGCCCAAAACTGAAATTTCCTTTCAATATTTCATGAGGATCTGAGATCGAAGAATACGAATATGTGATCAGGTGCAATGTCTCATATTTTCACTAAAACAGTGGAAACCTTGGTTCAAGTTTGGTAGTAGCCGTCGTAGTGAACAGATGTTGACTAAACATATTCTAAAACTCATCGAAATTCAGTGATTTATACAGTTTATAATACATCAAAAACCTGCCAAAACCTGAGTAAGTGATCAATTGGTGTCAACAGTATTTGCCAACTCAGTAAGATAACCAAATCCGTCTAATTGGTTAATATCAAAACAAGCATTTTCACAAACAGCCATTTACTTGAATCTCGATATGTCCAGTTGCCATGCGTGCCGTAAAAATATTTCACCAACTGATAAGAGTAGCTTGACTTGTTCAGTGTGCTGCAAACAGTGGCATGGTGTATGTGCCCGGCCACAGCCTGACGATTTGAACGTAGATACGCGAACTATTTGGAGGTGCGAAGAATGTCTCTCTGCACCAATGCCCCGATCAGGTGAACTGGGTAGAGACCAATTTCAAGCCATAATGGATCAACTCTTCAAACTTAACCAAGCTATGTTAACCTCAAATAGCAAAATCGAAGAACTCACTCGCTTGGTAGCTGATCAATCTCAAGCAATCTCTAGCTGTGTTGATGATATTTCATCCCTTCGATATGAACATCATGAGTTACGAGATAAACTTCTCACACTAGAAACCCAGATATCGCCTTTCAATTCTGCAGAAGCAATGCAAGATATGCAATCTGAAATAACGGAGCGTTTAAAACGGGAAAAGAACCTCATTGTGTGGGGACTCCCCGAGAATCCTGAGATCGATGACCTTGAAAAATCAAAAGAAATATTGAACATAATAGCCCCTAATAAAGCAATCAATATAAATTCTGCAGATAGGCTTGGTCAGCCTCGACCTAATAGATCTCGCCCGCTCAAACTTTGCATGAACTCTGCTGAAGATGCATTATTCATATTGAGAAACAAGTCTAATATCGCCAGACAATATCCGAACTTATCAGTTAAATCCGACTTAACACCTGCACAGACTAAATACCTTTCGAAGCTACGAAATGAGATGAACCGCAGAATTGGGAATGGCGAAAAGGATATAACGATCAAATACGTTGATAAAATTCCGAAAATTGTTTCTGTGAATCCATCCTCACGTGATAATGATACCACCTACAAAAGGCAACGCGAAAACGATGACTCACCGAAACGTCCAGTGGGCCTGAAGATTCCTAAATCAGGCGAAATATCTTCTGCATCATCGTCTAAATCCAAATAGCAGTCATCGGATATAATATTCTGGAATTGTCAGGGTCAATCAAACTTAGAAGAATTCCTAAACGAATACGAAGATAATTTTTTGATTCTGTGTGTAAGTGAGACATGGTTGACTTACGAACTAAAACAACCTCCAAAGTCTTTGTCTTCTTTTAAAGTGCTCAGTTCCCCAGCAATTAAAGAGAAATCTGCTGGTAGAGCCAGTGGCGGTATTAGTATGTATGTCAATAGTATATTTAATGTTCGTGTTCTAGATAAATCCCCCTGGTGGATATTTGGTCATTTCTGTTTCAGAAATATATCATTTTTATTGTGTACTATATATTTCAAACCCTCACTCGATTTGAATTATATCATAGAAAGTTTTCAAGTAGTACTTAACGAAATCACCGAAAAGTTTCACGATATCCCTTTAATTATCGGAGGTGACTTCAATGCCAGAGTGGCAGAAATCGGTACCATTCCTGAGGAACTACTTGAAAACACCAATCTTTATGAACATAGGCTGAGTATGGATAAAGTTCTGAATACAAGGGGGAGGAATATTATTGAGTTCATGCATGCCAATTCCTTCACATTGCTGAATGGAAGAACATCACTCGATTATCCTGCGCAGCACACACATAGGTATCTCCTTTGCCGGTAGTAGTGTGATTGACTTAGTATTCGTCTCAAATTATTCGCTAGACTTCGTTCATAATCTCAAAGTCCTCAATGAAAATATCATATCTGATCACTTCCCTATCTCCCTTAGAATATCAAATGAATTTGCGAAAATAAACCGAAACAAAGTAATCTCAATCGATTCGAACTCTCTCGTATTAAAATGGGATGAATCTCGCGCTGTGGAATATAAAATGACCATGAAAAATTCAGAGAGAGCTCATTATATCCCCGATATCGAAACTTCTTATGACAATTTTTGCGCTGCTATTCACGAATCCGCCAGAACACTCTCCCTTACAAAAAAAAATACTAACCATATTTCTCCACACAAAAAAAGTTCATCCTGGTTTGATTATGACTGTGTCCAATCTAAACAGAAACTGAAGAAAGAACTGAAATTGTTCAAAAACAGTAACTTTTCCAATGACTCTAGACAACAATTCCTCTACTGTAAGCGCTCACATAAGAAATTACTCAAATATAAAAAACAAACCCACAATCAGAACCTTCTGGATGTGCTGAACACTAGTAGTGATCCCAAAACCTTTTGGACTACCCTCAAAAAATTCAGAGATCCAACACCATCGAAAACACTGAGTTCTCAAATATGGGAAGATTTCTATTCTAACATTTATCCTCCACGCCTTATAGAAAATACTCATTTTTTTGATGCTAGAAATCCATATCTTGACACTCCAATTACTTCCTGTGAGATTTATACGATTATCAACTCCTGTAAAAATAACAAATCCCCTGGCTGCGATAAAATAACCTATGAATTTATAAAAAATTTACCCCACAACTGGATTCTCTATTTAACCTGTCTATTCAATAAAGTTTTGGATTCTGCAGTAACTCCTGGTGGTTGGAGTAAAATCGTTCTGTCAATGATTCATAAAAAAGGCCCGGCAGAAGACCCTTCAAATTACAGAGGTATTGCGTTATCGAATTGCCCAGCTAAAGTTTTTACTCAAATATTACTCAATAGGCTCAATACCTGGACTGAAGATAATGCAATTTTACCTGAAAATCAAAACGGATTTCGAAAAGGCAGAGGTTCCCTAGATAACGTTTATACTCTCAGTGCTGTCATTCATTTAAATTTGCGATTAAAAAAACGGAAGGTATTTGCAGTGTTCGTAGATTATAAACGTGCGTTCGATTCTGTGAACCATTCTCTATTGTGGTCGAAACTGTTCTCGGTGGGGTTGAGTTCTAAAATTATATCATTGTTAAAAAACATATATGATAAGGCTCGAATGAATGTTAAATCCTCAGAAGGTTTCACGAAGCCATTCGATGTCACAACGGGGGTACTTCAAGGTGAACCACTGAGCCCATTGCTTTTTGCCTTGTTTTTGTCCGATATGGAAAATTTCTTCCGTTCTAATGGAGCTTCTGGGATAAATATAGATAACCAAAATGATCTTCTGATGCTTCTTTATGCAGATGATATAGTGATTTTGGCGGACTCGGAAATAGATCTTAGCCGCAAACTCAAAATCCTGGAAGACTACAGTGACATTAACCTGCTCACTGTTAACGTGCTCAAAACTAAAATTATGTGTTTTGCGAGGGGCAACCCTCACTCTGAGAATCTCAGGTTCAATTATAAAAGCAACCATGTGGAAGTCACAAGAAAATTCATCTACCTAGGAGTGGAATTTTCATCTTCATCCCTCTTTCAAAATATGGCAACCACATCTGCGGATAAAGGCAAGCAAGCTGTGGGCGCTGTTTTTCCTATCATGGCCAAAACAAAAATGAATTGCTGGCGCTCCAGAGAAAAACTGTTGGATTCACTTGTTCTGAGTGTGTTGACCAATTGTATACCGGTTTGGGGCTGGCGCTATGTCGATACTCTAGAACGCGTACAACTAAACTTTTTGAAAAGAATGCTATGTTTGCCTGTGAATACTCCAGATTATGTTGTTAGACTTGAGGTAGGTAGAGTCAAGATTTCATATACCATTTTCAAACTTACTTTGAACTGGTTAATCAAAATCCTTGCAATGGATGAAAGTCGCCTACCAAAAATTTGTTTCAAAAAACAGCTAGAACTCCGCTCCGTAGATCAAAGATACAATTGGTCGATTCAAGTTTCTAAAGAGCTTGAATATGCTGACTTTAACTTGCCACTATCACAGCTTACATCTAGGTATCTCATACAGAAGAAGTCGATCTTACTCTCAAGGTATATGCAGAAATTGAAAGAGGAAGACAGGTCCTTGTTCTCTCGTTCAACCTTCCTAACATTCACCCAGTCTCTCACACTTACTCAGGACACCCAGAACTATTTGCACATGAAGGTGCCGATTCAAGTCACTAGAACTATTGCGCAGCTCAGACTATGTAATAAGTTCATGATAAGATTCACCTACCGTGGCTCAACCTACCGTATAAACCCAAAAGAAATATGTTCAGTATGTAACAAATATGAGCTTGAAACGATTAATCACCTCTTATTTGACTGTCCTATTTATACTT